TACAGCTTACTCAAACAACTCCCCATCCCTGATCATCCTTGGAACTCCATCTCAATGGACTTCATCAAACAGCTACCCTCCTCTTCCAGATTCACTTCCATCTTGGTCGTCATGGACCACCTGTCCAAACAGTGCATCTTCATTCCTACCCACAATACCATCACCTCCCCGGAACTGGTCAAGCTATTCCTCCTCCACATGTTCTCCAAGCATGGAGTTCATTTCTCATTTTTTCCATTCATGTTAGAACGGGCGGATTCGGACGACTCCGGAGTGGAATCGGAGACTTAGCGTGGAGGGACCTTGGCCTCAGCGACTCAGGCAGAGCGCTGTGCCATTGCTGTTTGTCCATTTGGTCCTTAATTTCACAGTAGGTGAGCAGGAAGTCTCTAGGGGGCATTTCAGGTCGATTTTGGACTAAACCAAAACGAGTATGTACAAGCGCCGATATATATAATGGAAGGGGCAAAAGCACAAGGAAAACAAAGGGTAACCGAATCGGAACGAAGACGTCCGAAAGGGAACAAAGGGTAGAGGGAGTGGAGCGGTACCGAAGGTCATAAGGCAGGACCTGTGATACGTCCGAAAAGAGGTAGGGAGGGCGAGGCCCAGAGGGGCAGGAGGATGAGGGGAAGTGGGGATGATGACTAACTGGCTAGAATAGGAAGAAGCAGTAGTCCAAATAGGGATGAGGGGAAAACGCGAGAAATACATTACAAGCAGCGAGAGTGCCGAAGGCGATCCGCGAAGCTCGGGGGTTGCGGAGCTTACGGAGGTTACGGAGGCGGGGTTGAAAGTCCGAGGGATATTGGCAATGGTGTTTACATGGTATGAGGTCACCAATGCAATGGACTAAGACCGAGGTGGAGTCAAAGTCCGAGGTAGGGACTATGACGGAGGCTCGGAGCAAGGTACGAGCGGTGTCCGAGTGCGAAGTACGGAACAGCGGTGGAAGGTCGTAACTTGGCGGAAGGGTGGCGGAGGAGTAACGGAGGGAGGAGAGAGGGGACAGGTAAGGGGAGAAGGAGTGGCGGAGAGGAGAGTAGTCAGGTCCAAAGGTGAGTATCGGAGCAGACAGGGGAAGCGTAGGAGGATGACGGGAGGGTGGAGGTGTTGTGAAGGGGGAGCGGAGTAGTAGGAGGGTGGCAAGAGGGGCGGTGTTCGGTCCGAGATGAGTATCGGAGCGGACGGAGATGGGGTCGAAGAGGTAAGGAGGAGGTGTGTTGCCAGGACCGAGGGTGAGTATCGGAACGGCAGCGGTAGGTTATGACTCCGGAGGTGAAGAGGGTGGAGGTCCGGAAGTCGGGTCGGGGTCGGGTATGCACGGATATGACAGTTCACTTGGTAAAGCCCTCAACATCCACCTCCACTTCACCTCTGGTTATCACCCAGAGGGAGACAGACAGACCAAATGGATGAACCAGATGCTCGAGCGGTACCTGCGCATCTATAGTAACTACCAGCAGGATAATTGGTCTGAACTCCTACCTCTCATGGAGTTCACATACAACAACGCTCCGAATGCCACCACAGGCGTCTCCGTTCTTTGCCAATAAGGGCTACCATCTGAACATCACCATTCACCCAGAGCGAGACTTAACATCAGTATGTGCCCAAGAGTACTTGATAGATCTCGACTCCCTTCATCACTTCCTTCGCAAGGAAATGCACCATGCTCAGATCCGTTACCAGGGCCTGGCAGACTCCAATCGGAGTCCTGCCCCAGCTTTTGAGGTAGGAACTTCGGTCTATGTAAAGGCCAAGTACTTCCACTCCACCCAACCTTCCAAGAAGCTCTCCAAGAAAAACCTCGGCCCTTTCGAGATCATTGCCCGCATTGGAACTCACTCCCTCACTCTCCGCCTGCTGGAAAACATGCAAGCCATCCACCCGGTTTTCCATGTCTCGCAGATCGAACCCTCCATCCCAAATGTCATCCCGAACCACCACCCCCTCAGCACCCTATCACCCCCAGATGGATGGACAGACTGAGGGGGTAAACCAGGAGATAGAAGCCTACCTTCAAGTGTTTGTCAACCACTGCCAAGATGACTGGGCAGACTGGCTCCCACTAGCAGAGTTCACCTACAACAACCGCGTCCACTCCACTACCCACTGAACCCCCTTTGAGCTCGACACCAGGCAACACCCCAGGATGGGGACAGAGCCCACGTGCACATCTGAGGTAGAAGCCACAGATGCATTCTCCTCAAGAATGATGAAAATGCAAGAGGAGGTGAAGGTGGCGCTAGAGCATGCAGCAGATGAGATGGCCCGCTACTACGACTGCAATCATGGAGCAGCCCCTACATACCAAGAAGGGGACCAGGTCTGGCTAGCACCCAGAACTACACAACTGACTGTCCAACCAAGAAGCTAGACCACAAGTGGATCAGCCCCTTCAAGATCACCAAAGTTGTCAAGAAGACGTTCCTTGGATAGGTCCAATCACTATCCAGGCAATGCTGTCAGGTGGAGCTCAGTGTTCCGGGTCGTCCAACGGTGGGTCGGAGACAGACCAGAGGTGGGGCGGAGCTCCCAGGGTGACGGGGTGTTGAAGGGACTCGGCTTCAGTGACTCGGAATGGAGCACTGCACCCAGTACGTTCTTGTTGTCCCCAATTTGTCAGGGGAGCTGGCAATGGAGGAACCGAGGCTGCCAGCAGAAGGGGGCCGGAAGCCCCCCCCTCACTACTTAACGAAGGAGGCGTTAGTGAGGGTCAATTGTTCATCACGCAATTCTTTTGGGTTTTATACCAGGGCATCTCTAGGAGCGCCTGTTACTCAGTTCTTTGGAGCAGCAGACGAGTGGGACGCGATAGACGTCCTGGAGGAGTTTTTGGAGGGCTCAAGACTGTTTATATTATAACTGGGGGAAACTATTTACTAGAGGGGTACACGCATACATATAGTGGAAACAATTGGATCCGAAGGTAAACAAAGGTTACCAAGGGGAAGGGGAAGTAAATAGAAAAGAATCCTCAAGACAAATAAGGAATAGGCAAAAAGCCTGAATTATGTCTGAGGTTTGTGGAGTGAGAGAATTAAAAGCCAACTGAATGGCAAGGTCTGGAAACGTCTATGAACAAGCAGGGAACTACAGAGAAAAGGCATCCGGAAAGGTCCGGAGCCCGGAAGTTGTAGTCCAGAAGATTGGGGTTGTAGAAAATATCAAATGATAAAACAATAAAGATTATCAAGACCAGAGGTAAAATAGGAATGGGGAGGTACCGGAGGTGCGGAGAATGGAGGTAGGAAGGAGGGTGGATAGGCAAGTTGAGATTTATCAACAACGAGCAGGCACATCTCCTCTGAACAAGGGGTCCGAGGAGGTGGAGGTATGGTGGTGGAGGTCTGGAGGTGATGCAGACGTAGATGGGAGGCAGAGCAGGAGAGAGTCGAAGGAGGAGGTAGTCCTAGGGCTGTTGGCATCGACTGGAGGCAGCAGAGAGAGATTGGGAGGGCTGGTGGAGGTCATAGGAGTCATGTAGGGATAGGGTGGAGGGAGGTGGAAGATCTGGGATATGACAAAAGTTGTCTCCCCCACTGCCATCAAACTCCAGCTCACTGCACAACAAAAAGGAATCCACCCAGTTGTGTCTGTGACGAACATCAGGCTGCACCGCCCTGTTGAAATCGTGGAACGCCCCACTGACCCCCACCCAGGCCCAGACATTGTAGACAGAGAGGAAGAGTACAAGGTCGAAAAAATTCTGGACTCTAGATGGCAGTGCTGAAAACTCTGGTACCTGGTAAAGTATATGGGCTGGCCAAACTCAGAGAACCAGTGGCTCATGTGCGACCACCTGACCCATGCCCCCAACCTAGTAGAAGATTTCCATCAGATGCACCCCCATGCTCCAGGGAGAGAAAGAGAAGACTGCCCAACTGCTTCAAGGTGAAGCAGCTAAGCTAAAGAGGGGGTGATGTCAGGGCATGCCCCACCTGACCCTGCTCTGCTGCCCCCCGCTCTGCACTGTCCTTCCTTTTCTTCTTCTCCCCTTCTTTCTTCTTTCTTTCTTTCTTTCTCCTACACGGACCACCTTTCCCTCTGCTCAATGTACCACTGGCATGCCTGCCACATACCCCTCCTGTATCTACCATCTCTACATCACCACCACTGCTGCCACACTCACCTTGCACCTACAGCAGACCCTCTCAGGATCCCCCATGGGAACACCCAGAGAGCCACAGCTGTGTACGAGGGTGATGTGGTGCACCCCACATGACCAATCCCACATGTATATAATAACAGCTGGAGTGGGAACCGAAGAAGTAGCCTTCTTCTCACATTCCCACTTCAGACTAAGTGGTCAGGGACACTCACCCCATGACAGGACCACCGCTATGCATAGCCACTATCCGATCGATCGAGTCCTGCACACCAGGACTTCGCCACTTTCAGAGCTGTCCCTGACAAGGCAGTCTGAAGGTGAACTTGCAGGGCAGGTGACTCAATGGCCTAGCAGAGATGGGAGTGCACTTGCAGACATCAGAGCTGTCCAGAGGGCTTCAGGATTCCATACTTAGGGAGGCATAAGTAATATAGGGAAATGGAGGGGTAGTGACCATCAGAGAAGTGAATGCAGGTTCTGAGGTTGGTGTGAGTGGAGTGGAGGTTGCTGGAGATGGCCAAGGGATGGATATGACGGGTCAGGTGTTATAAAAATGGGGCCTCATTGGTCCATTTCTATAGCATTTGGGTGCAGGAAGGGGCTGTGACATCAAGGTGGTTATACAGGTAGTATGGCAGATGTTGTCATAGCTGGGGTTTACAGAGACATCAACATGGGGTTGTTGGGTGATAGTAGTTGGATAAGATGTAACTATATATATATACTCATGCTGCATAGAGCCCATAAGAGGCTAAAAGAAAATCCCATTTCCATAACATCGGGATTCTGGGATGTGACACATTCCAACCTGACAAGTTTTTGTTTTTGTTTTTTTGCCCTCCAGTGGCCTGTGACCATTCAAGTTCCAGCTGGACAGGCATGGATGGAAAGTGATTTAACATTCAATGGGTTCAATCATACCAGATGTGCATACTTAGTCTCAGATTTTGCGCATCCACAGAGTGACAATGAACTGGGTAAGGGTCTGGAACCGGTTCAACAACATTAAGTGGTAGCGGCTGGTAACCACCGACCTTTGACTCGGTCACCATAGCCTACAACTACTACCAGGCCCAACACTCTGGCAAACCTGACATATCTACTACCATGTGTTTATCCCCATTCCCTATGCCGTAGCATATGCAATGACTGTCACAAACAGAGCATAATAAATTTGCAACATTTAGCTTGATCCCCAGATGTGCTCGCTCGCTTCAGCAGCGGAGTGTTAGGGAGTTAAACTTAACAGCTATGCAATTTCTGAAGGCGGAAGTTAGAATTATTATCCGATGCTACTCAGATGATTTCACCTGAAATTTTGAGTCACTTCTTCAATAGTAGGTCGCTCTTCTGGGTCCTGTTTGAGACATCTTTCGATATTGGCGAGGAATTCATCACACTCGTCCCACTCATAGGGAGCTTCACCATTGACCACTGCACGGTGGACTTCGAAGATGTTAAGCGCTGTGGCATATGGCCTTTTGTCATAAAGCACCTAGGGTCCATTTCAGTCAGAAATAATACACAATTTGAAGTGTTAGCATGCTAGAACCTGTCCAGATGCACAGCCAAACGCCCAGACGTCGCTTCTTCTGTCGCGATCTTGGACATGGCAACTGAGTAGTTCAGGGGAAGTGTATCGTAAAGTACCGACGGCGCTAGATCCTTCTGCATATGTCGAGAGATCGTCAAGTACGCTTGACAGCCCAAAATCACAGAGCATAGCGCTCCCTTCTGCGTTGACCACAATGTTCTCCTAGGAGGTGCCAGGAGACCTGGTGATAAAATCACAGAAGACAAGTAAAATACTAGGACCTACCGGCTTAATATCGCCATGAATTACATCCTTTGAATGAAGATACGTCAGGCCTTCAGATACATCCACTACCTGAGGGATAAGAGCATCTTTGTAAGGGTCGCACAAAAGGAATATGTAAACTTTCCAGTCGACGGCGGTCAGCATTTGGAGCCTGTCCCGTGTACTCCAAAACGGTTCCTCCCTCACACCAAGCTGAAATCAGCTTCGCACACGTGGTGTAGTCCTCGTCAGAAAACTCTAATATCCATCCATGGAATGCGACGATGTTGGGATGCCTCAATGCTGCCCAAACCTTCACCTCACGCAGCATTCTCTGCAACACCACAAGCATGTATCAGCTATGATTCACAGTAGATCGATACCTCTATACAGACCCTGCAAAACTTGGTTATGACATCCTGGCCCGATGAAATGTGTATTTCCTTTAGAACCTTGATACAGACGGTATGCTGGTGGCACCTCCTGATCAGGTTTGCAAGACTCGAAGATACAGGCATGTTCATTACCATTCCAAAGTCCCCTCGATATACTTTTGCGTAACTCCCTTGACCTACTAGAGCCCGTCGCTGTGTCACGCGGCCATTGAGGTTGCGAGCAGCACCAAATTGAGAAAGTTCCTCAAGAAGCTCGAGCACCCAAGGAAGCCGATGCATGGGTTCCATTGATGAGATGGCGCGGGTGGTATGGAAAAGATGAGGCTCTTGCGCCGGCATCTCTTGTGAAACATGATTTCTGTTCACAACGTCAGGGTTCTTTGTCCTGAGATGAGCACAAAAATCACAATATGCAACGCTAGAATCGTACCTCGGAATGTCCAGGGTGAAGTGTCGGAGGGCGTCTAGAGGGTGGAGATGGTGTTGGTGGCAATTTCAATGGGGATGGTGATCTCGATCGCAATGCTAATGACAATGGCGATATAGATGGGGTTGAGGATGAGGATTCGGTGCAAAATAGAACTGTGCTGCCAGTGCGCGGCTGCCACGGGAGAATTGGCACTGTCAGGGCTCAAGGCATCAGTGCGAGTCTTTCAGAAATCGGTAGACGTTATCGGTCGAGCTTAAAGCTATAAACTCACTGGGGGTCACAGAACACAGAAGTCGCTACGTTACTCGATGCTTGGTTGTTGAATTCATTCATGCGGCAAGTGCCGCTGGGTGTCCGTCCAAACATCGTCCACCTTGACCGACAACTTTTTATTTTTATTTTTATATATGTAACATACACACATTACCCCGACAACCCCCCCGACGACACAACTCGCGAGGATCTCACTCACCCGAAGACACCACCCAGACACCCATGCCATGTAAGGATGATCCCCTCATGCACACGATGGCCGCACTGCCACGTTGACACGAGGCCGCGGGTAACAAAATAGAGTACAACAACAACCTTATACTTGTCATGAAGATCCATAACTTGCAGTCATTAGCTTGTAGCCTAGGCTGATCTATGTCTGTGGTATAACAAACAGAAGTCTCCCATCACCAGGCCTTTGTTATTTATAGTTCAGTCCCAAACCACTTCCCCTACTTGATTATGACATAACCGGCAACTACGTTCATCCCATTGAACCAGGCAGATAATGAGCCTGGCCGATTTATTGAGGGTATCTTGTACTCAAGAATGAAATCTGTCTACGCCACCACCTGCTCCGTAGCATTGATTTCTTAGCTGCGATTTTTTGCAATCACTTTTCGAGATGCACTTCTGTGTTTGGTAGGCCTGGCTCAAACCTGTATGTTCACTCTAAAAGATGAGACGAATTAAAGGATGGGATGAGATGAGCGCTGCAACGGGACTTGCGTAATTTACATGCATACAACCAGTTGGAAACATCAGAGTCTTCAGCTGAGTGATAGCAGAAGAGCAATTCGTCAGAGAAATGCGCTGATAAAGTTGGGGAGGAGAACAGGCTCAAATGGGAGAGTCGATAGGGTTACTGCCTCGCAGCATGTTCCGTAAGGCGTCCTTTTGTGCACGAATTAACGAGAATGATGAGGCAATAATCTCGAGGTCAGACATTAGAACAAACTCATTTTAATTTCGTAAGTTTGAGCTCATGCAACTGAAGTACAGTGTAGTCGAAGGGGGGACAAGCCTCGATGCTCGGTGTGAAGGATCAATGTATCCCAGACACCATGTAGAAGCACGATTGGCCGCTCCTGTGAACTTGGTGGCGTCTTGAACCGAGCAATATTGATAATGCCCGCAGGACATAAAGCGAAGGGATGACAAGAAGAAATCATCATACCTATTATCCTATCCTAAGAAATTAATCAGGAGCAAAACGGGCTTGGTACAGTGACCAAGCGGGAGCGGGCTTTGTTTGATGAGGGAAATATCGAAAACCAGCGCCAATAGGTGGGATCAACATCAAGAATTTCCTATCCAGCCGACAGAGCATCCACCGGACAGCCCGACGGGTATCCCAGTAACTAATCCGAGGACAACATTATTCAAAGCGGCCGATTGCAGAATTTGCGTCAATTTCCAAAGAAATACGCTGCGTGGACATTCGGCCACCGCCGAATACTGGTCTCAAGTTGTAAGCGATAAGCTTACATAAGCGTAGAGAACCGTATATACTGTCCTATAACGACCATAAGTTCGTCGCATGTCGCATGAAGATTTTGGATTGAATTGAAAATGAACATGATTGAATTGATTCGACACCACCGGCAACTCCCGGAGGCCGTGGGAATGAACTAATGGTCGTTATACCACAGTAAGCTGGAACCTCGGTAAATGGAATAAGGCAGAGATCTTGTATTTTACACCCTCTAGTGTAATATCGAGTTCGACTTTGGTTCAGCGACTTTCGATTACCCTAAGATTTCGTGAGTCCCTTAACCATCCGAACTCAATCGCCGGCCTCTGCCGACGTTAAGGTCCCTCACACAAGTGCCTCGGTGAGCGTCGTGAAGATGCGAAACAAACCATTTCGGGTCAAGTATTTCCCCTGTAGAGTGACTTGAATTGTGCGCTTGGCCGCAAAGGACGGGGCGTCCCTCGCCATGCGGCTCGCGGGATGTGCCGTTTTCATGAGACTGCAACTCCGCCTTGAGCGCGGATCAGGGCTGGCTAGATCTCCACAGCTTTCCAAATGATCCACCAGACCATACAGAGAGACCAATATTTGCAAGTTGGAAACCGAAAGCCATGAGGCTGAGAAAAACACTTCGGGCAAGACTAAAGAACACCGTTGCATGCAATGTGTGTTTAATTTCCCCCCCCTCGAACTTGGGTCGAGTATTCCTGTTCTGCAGGGGTGCAACAGAAGCTGGGCTAGCCAGATCAGATTGAGCTTCATCTGCACGTACGTCTCCAAACCACAGATGCATTCCATTAATACTGGTCCAAACGCATATGTGGTGTTGTCAGTAGAAGAGAAAGATATTCTCTAACTCCGTTATATTGGGTCTCAACGACCTATGACGAAGGTCATCGAGACGACCTCTAAGGTGAACCGTGTCACGCCACAATTGAGGGAAGAACGCATGGGAAAAGAATATGTACGACTAAGCTTACGGCACGAGCCAGGTAAAGAGCCAAGAAGCCAAGACAGGAATATAACGTGAAAATCGTCTAGAGGATTTCCGCTAATGCAAAAGCGTATACGACAAGGTAGGTGAGAGTGTATGGGGCAGATCCGATGCGACATACACGAGCGGAGTTTGCTGATCAAAAACAACCCTAGCCCAAAACACACAATGAAAATCCGTCAATGCCAAAAATGGCGACATTAAGACCTGCGAAGCTTGGACGGAAGGAACTGACATCACGGTGTCATGGACCTCGAAGCCGCTTGAGAGTACAAGTTATCTTCATAACTGATGCTATTATGCGACTGGCTCGGCCCATCGGCTTCCGTCTCTCCCAGTGATTCAGAAGAATCCGACCGGGATAATGAAGACGATGACCCTGGACGATGAGACATACCACTTCTCGGCCGGCTCGGAGCAGAGCCAACACTGTCGCCGAGTAGTGATTGAATCCTCATTATTGATCCTGTGCTTGTTGAGGCCGATGGCATGTAGGCACGGGGTAATTCGTTGCCTGTGACGTCCGGACATGGGAGGTGTCCACTCATCTCAGGCATAGCTGGTGGCGCGCTAGGCTGCTCGGGATGCTGCAGCGTGTGAAAATTGGGTTGTGAATGACCAAACGAAGTATGGGACATCATTGCGAGCGTTGCCTCTGCTTCTGCGATTCTTTGTTGGGATCTCTTCATGCGTTTCCGGCACCTACATGCGCGTCAAATTCGGAAAGGGAGAGGCGCCAACGATACGTCAGATATGGATGCACTTCGAGAACCCCGATTGGTCTCATAACGGTTGCTCACCGATCACAGACGGTGCCAGGACCGGCAGGTCCTGGACCCCATTTTTCGATGCACTTTCCGTCCTTATATCTCCCTGTTTGCTTACACTCTCTGCAGATCCTGAGTCCAGCCGCGTTTGTGAGGATAGAAGAGGACGCTCTCCTGCCCCTCGATCCGCTGGTTCCATCCTCCAGGCCGAACCTTGACCACAGGCGATTCTGAGGAATAGTGACGGCTCCCACACTAGAATTATACTCGTCTAGTTCAGTTCGCCACACATATTCGCCCGGTGGACCAGGCCGCCGGTTGGGCCCAATCGCCCCAAATTTCGGCGATTCAACGCCACGCAGAGAGCCGGAGAATGCTCCCGCAGCGCCAGAAGGAGGAAATGAAGACCTGCGGCTAGGCAGTGGCCCGAGAGGTGAGAAAAGCACATGGGTACTATTACATCGAAGCTGTTCGTAAGCGTCCCCAGACACGTGGGGCTGGCTTGTTGTCGAGCGGGGTTGGTCTAATTTCGGGAGAAAGTCAGAGAAGAAAACCATGGAGGCGTGTTATGTAGTTTGAAATTAGGAAGTGTGTTACAAATGATGTCTCGACGTCTCGTTTAGTGCGGAAAGCCACCCATATGGATGAGAGATATGGGGTAAGAAGATGATCCTGAACTCACTGGTGAGCCAGTAACAGTGTCGACGATTATCGAAGCCGGCCTGGGAAGGAACAATCGGTGTTCGGGGTTCACACTCTCCTAGCTGATCCTGGTCAGGGGGAACCTGCGAAGTTAGACACACGGGAGGGAACGGCAATGAAGAGTGGACTGAGCCCGCAGACGGGAGTCCCACTAGATTAAAAAGGCACCCACAGACGAGCAACAATTGGGGAACAATCATTGTCATTAGAACGATCCAATAACCAAGACCTACGTACCACCAGCCGTTGAAGGTCTCATCTGTACATGTCCTTGGAGGGCAGAAGCATTCTCAAGGGGTCTAATTGGCGGAAGGACAATGACAGGCTCTCGTCTAGTCTCCCTTCTCTCGCAGGTGACATTCAGGTCACCAGGCCGTGAGCCTGGCCCTGTGGAAAGATGGGAAAGTTGGCTCAGCGCACCTCGGAGCTGCGCGTTAGGGTCCCCAAAGGCAGTCACAAGCGTGTAGTTTAAGTTATAGGAGTGGAGCAGAAGTGTTCAAGAAGGGTTAGTTCGGACTTCGAATATTGTACTACGAGATCGTACCTCGCTCCCCAGCTTATCGTAAGGTGCACCCTCAGGTCCGGCCCCGGGGCGGTTCTCTAGCCATGTCGATATGGCGACGGCGCTTGATAGGTGCTGATTAAGGGCGCTCAAAGCTTGTGCGTCCGTCATTGTTGGTAGACGTTAGGGGTATTCAGGAGGATGATAGGGGTTGACAAGGATGAGCCAACGGTGTCAATAAAGCTGTGCGGGGTGCCAGGCGAAGTGCAAATCGCGATACTATGGATCAACAAGAAGATTCACGGAAGGTGGGTTGGCAGGGCTATTGTTCCGTTAGGTATAATTTCTTTTCGGATGGGGGTACTGAGGAATGGTTATGTGAGTAGGAATTCAAGGCTATTTCTGGGCGGGATAGAGTATTTTTGATTGGGAATGATAATACCGGGCTAGGGGATCAGTCACCTTTATAGTTTTCCGCCACACAATGACTTGGTGTCGGAGGCGGAGAATCTGCCAATACAAAGGGGGTTTTCCGCGTATTTGGAATTTGGGTTATCTGCCTGCAACGAGGGAACGTTCGCAACACTGTGTCGTCTTCCGAAATCGAGATCATGAAGAATTGAGAGTTGGACACGCGAGATTGATATGGGAAACCGATGAATTAATTAGGGGAAATATAAAGCCGTGGATATAGCTGATACTTACGCCACAGGGTAGAAGGGGTGGGGTGATCCTACACAACTCCTATACCAAATCAATTCCGGGTCACGATGTTCGCTAGGGATGATCCAAATTAAGTTCCTAAAGATGGTGTTACGAATAGTGAAGCTACTTCGGTGCGCGATTTTGAAAGCTTCGGAAAGAATGGGGGGTGCACCGAGAAACAAAATACGCTTGGGGCGCGAAGGGGTGATGGGTGTTGCGAGCTGCGTGTAAAAGAAAACGTCAAAATTATGCAGAGTTTGAGGGGGGATTGGTTGAACACGGACGGGGACACCAGACGTCGGAGCTGGGACCCAGGCAAGTGGATGTAGCCAAGCTGATGCTGTTTCCTCCGATCAGTATCAACGTCGCTAAGAAAAAGCCAAATAGCTCAGGAGTTAGGGGAAAGAAAGCACGTCGGAGACGCGACTATTCGTACTTATGGATCTCCAGGCCGTTGTCGTATCGGGCCGTCTGAACTGAGCCTTGAACCGGACAAGACCAAGGGGCAAATAGAAAGGCGCATTTATCGCCTATCTTGGTCGGATATGGCCATAATGATGACGCTGATGATTTAAGGGTCTATCTCGGCGTCAGACCAGCTTTATGACGTTGCAACGGGCCGGGGATTCTCAAAGGAATGAAAGCGCACTACGATCGGGGATAAAAAAACACCTCCGATTGATGTGAATTTTCGGATGCCACGATCAAAACATAAAGTAGTTTGAAAAAAGACCAAGGAACCCGCCATCATGAAGGAAATTTGATGTTGTTGATAGGCCAGAATGTCAGGATAATAGAAGGTGGGGAGGGGGGAATCGAAATGCAACCCAGCGAAGCCAATCCGCAGGTATGTGCGATCCACGACAACATGAACATGCCTCGTGTCAGCATTTGATCTGAGATCCGCCGTAGCTGCATGAGTCGGAGCCATCCGAATCAAGCACCGAAGCCAAAGAATAATTATTGTTCAAGAACAATGGTGACAACAGCGCAGTCTCATTGATCAATCTCATCAAATGGCATACACACGAGCCACAGCAGAGAACGCAACCAGACTGATCATGAATATATTTGATGCGGTGATCTGATCATACTAGAGCTCGTTCGATGAAGAGAGGTGCATGTGCCAACCAACAATTCATATAATGGCCTTCGAACTATGATATATATTGTATAGTTCAGGGAGCCAGATGTTGTCATTTCGTTAACACAGGAGTGTGAAGCGACGCATGGGCCGCGAGGATTACTGGATGTAGTTAGTTATTGACTCGACGGCCCACGCTGCAAGTGCGAGTCTGCATCATGAATAGGGCGCAGCTGTGACGAGAGTGATCCCGGGTACCCGGACCCATAATATAATTTGTATACGCCTGAGTCAGAGAAGAGAAAAGGCTCGAATAGTTGGATTGCCCCCAGAAATATTCGAACTTGATTGGGAACATGATCTAGCCGAAAGTGTCTAACAGTACTTGCTGAAAAAATGAATGGGTCCCGTGAGAGTCGCTGAGCGCCGAAATTGTGGGCGAGATGGCATTTCAAATGGATGGGCAAGTGAGTCCGAACTACCCTTTACTCACTTAACGCTACCAGAAAGACAGTAAGGTAATTTATCAGCAAAGCACGTCTAGGTACATAATTGCATAATAATGTTTTATGGCGAACAAATATAACGGGCAACTCCGCCAAAATAGCGACAAGGCCCGTCTTCATGGACAATCCAACAAATCGCCTTCAGCATACTAGAGAACGCTTACTTAGGACACAGAAGTGATTGTGATGCTGATCTGAGCTAAGGGAAAAAATCGGAAATCCCCGAGTATCGGGGTAAAGGGAAACTCCGAATACAGACATGAAATGAATCATTTGAATGTGCTGTCGCTGTCGATGACATTGTCTCCTCTGGTGTGCCGGATGCCCATACACACTCTATTTGTGTTTTCTCCCATCATTCCTAAGGTCACTGGGCCTGGACGCTCGATCTCTCAACCATAGCATCGGTGGACACCAGCTTGTCAGACTGCACAACTCCTGACCCACCCGGTTTTGCATTTGACCTAGATGCTTCTGTGCCCCATTCACCTGACCGTTGCCGTTATGGTCCCTAACGATTTCTACTTGCCATTCCTATCATCGGCAGCGGAGGATTGTCTTTCCCCTTTCTGTGCAGTGTTTTGTCATTCCTCTCTTTGTTCCGCACTGCAATATTGGTTTTCCCACATTTGCGATCCCTTGATTCCACTCAGCGATAACTCTGGTGCATTCCGATCGAATACGGCTTTTCAACATCCCCAAGATGTTCACGTGTAGGTTGTTTGTAAGGGACGTCCAGCATGAGGCCAGCATTCCTCTTTATGTTTTTTACGAATGGGAAATTGATAAAACACAGATATACCAAAATGATCTCCCACATTTAATGGTATCATGGAGTGCCGACCTGACAATCTCCGAATAAATTGTCGGGGACATGAGTACCAATCATAATGCGCTGGACCTAGAATGCGGAGCATTGCTCCAAAGCTTTGTGCCTTAGGTCACTGGAAACATATGCACTAATGCCATTCTTTCCGACAGTATGTCGGTGTTTGTTCATAGGTGATACTTGTTGAATGTACACATCACAGGCACCAGCCGTCGGGTTCGAATCAAGCCCTCGTCATCTTTCATAGATCTTTCAGTTCTGGTTCTAGGGGGAATGTCGAACGTAGCATTGGGGATTTGAACTGGCCAGCAATATTTTCCCCAACAATTCTGGTCGTATTCTTCTGGGCACAGCTTCAGAGAAGTTCGACTGGTTGTGCAATATGCGGGTAATTAATCCTTAACAAGGGTGGGAGGTTGAGACGTGTTTGGCGTTTCCCTCTCGAGTTTTCTTCAAACACATCAAAGGCTAAACCTATGACATCTGCCTGCATTCCAAATTCCTCAAGATGGGAGCCCACCTTCCCTCGCATGACATGTCTCCAACAAGTGTTTGGGCGCCGAGGATTACGGTATCCCTACTCCTGTGAAAGCACAAGCGGGCATGACTCTCATCGGATTCTTTCCAAATAGCCGTCTGGCCCTTGAATAAAGGTGCAATGTCTCTAGCCAGTGAAGGCTTGAAGCGCTGTCATCTTTGCGTTTGACAATTGCGGTAAGCGTAAACGCCACAAGGCCAGGACGATGCCAGCGTAATCAACAATCACTGCGTTTCAGCCAAAAATTTCTGCAGCCCTTTCCGCTGTCGGATGCCGTGCAATCCCAGCCTTTTCTGTGATGGGAAATCGAGGTTTGCTTGTCCGACAACGGAAATGTCGACGGAAAATTGATGCATGAAACCACGTGTCCCCAATTTGTTCGTGCAATCCGCTTTGCATCAAATTAATTTCTTCGTGCCATCCTCTCACTTTCTGTTACATATAACATAAACTGACCAATAAATCACCTGGGAAATGCGTCTGTATTATTTGTTGGCGTTCCCTTCCGATGGTCGGCTTAGCTGGAACATCCACAGGGGGCATGTGTACTTGCTCTTTGCGGCAGACTCAGTGGACTCAGGCTGGACTTTTACTCTGGGTTACTTGGGTTGTCTTACTAGAATAGCTGTCATTTCTATTATTCCAGATGTACGGGGTCGGATATGTTATGTTCAACATCCAGGGCCGTGTTGGTGGTCTCTTCTCTAGTGGACTAGTCTCTGAGTCCAGTGAACTGATCTCTGCTGGTTTGTTTCTCCCCTGTGAACTCTTTAGCTCCCACTTGCTATGTGGGCTTTTGCTCTATGGTTCACCAATGAGTTATGCGTTGCAATCTGCAGCAGGACAGCATTAATTTGATATTTTCGTATGTTCATCTGTTCCCCATGATATGATGTATAAAGGGGTGAAAGGTTAGGGGTGGAATGTTTTTTTCTTTGGGTGGAACCCCACGTAGCTTTCGCAAGGTACTAGGTTTGTGGGCAGGAGCTGCGCTCCTGAGTTGTGATGTAAGGTGGTCGTCGTTGAGTGGTTCCGGAGACTCGGGCGGAATGTTTTTCTTGTATGTACATATATGCTGTGGTTTAGAGTTTCCAGGTGTGGATTGGACGAGAAATCAATATGATAGATTGTCAGCCACCACCAAATCCCCATCATTTCCTAGCCCCAACCATGCAGAAGTGACTCAATCCTCCAGCAGACAGAACCAATATCCGACGCGGGAAATTTCGCGGAAACCGGGCCAATCCCAACCATTTCCCACACCGAAATTTTTGGCTTAAACGCAGTGAATATATGTCGGGGCAACTACTCAAAACTAAGTCGAGGTGGACTCGCCGAGACCCGTGAACTGATCAGGCAGTGTTATTAATACATAGGTATCAGGTATGTAACCAGTAAAGTTGTACAATTAATGTGGATTAATTACGACATGTTGTCCGTATGACATTAATCATTATCCTAGAGATCAATCCTTCACACGACAACTGTGAGTGCGTAAGTTTTGTCAGATCTAGCCAAATGTTTGACTCTGAATGACAAAAATTTTGCATGAGCGATATTGATCAGTTGGTATAAAGCGAAGTGAGCATACCGAGCGGGCACTACGCTTGATTTTAGATAGACGCCATTCGTCTGGCTTTTCGTACTAATAATGGATTAGTTTGTGTCATATTTCTGGCAACGACATGGCGCACTTTGTTGTACAGAGGCTCGATCTTCTCTTGTTTCTTCCGCTTACTGATTTTATTGGCATCCGCAATTTTGAAGAACTGAGGTGCAACCTCCACGAGCCACTTGGGTTCCATGGCAGTCACGTTGTGACAGTACTCCCGCGTCGTGAGGACCAATTCATGATAGATAACCCATTCTGGGTTTCGATTGAATAACGACGAGGAAGGGTGAATGTAGACTGGAGTACCCTCCACAAGAGTTTTGTAGCCTTCCTGTGGATCTTTTTTGGCAGCGTTGCGAAAAAATCCAGAGCAGATGGCACGGCGTGCGCGATTGTAATCTCTCCCACATGAAATGATGTCGTGTTTGTATCTAAAAAAGTAAATGTTAATCTATCGGCCATGTGCCCGAAGAACGAATGAAGTTTGGGAAAGGCGGGACGAGCGAGGCCGCCTATGCGTGCGATTCGCCATAGTGTGATAGGGTAAACAATGAGCCGAGAAACGCACCGATCCATGATACCAAGGAGCTGCTTCCTCACATCTTGTGCGCGTCTCATGCTTCTGGCCTGAATGAAATTCTCGTAGCACCAAGGGTTAGAGAATTTGCTTGCAGCCCAGCCATTGTAGACTGTTAGTAATGTGAGATGATCTCCTTCCGGTTGATGGAACTTGGCCTTTTTTGAGTCAGCTTGAGCTTGTTTCTCTTTTGGCCGGTAAAACACATTCTGCACCGATAGCATTGCAACGATGCTTAAGATTTCCTCGGAACAGCCCAGGTCAACCGATGCAATGAGCATCTTGGCCTGTGGCGGCTCCATCGGAAAATCCGCCATCTTGCGCCCCAAGCGCGTCAATAATCCCTCATCATCAAGCGCTGACAGCGCATATAGCTGCTCTAATGCAGTCAACATCGTTTGCGCGGGTGGTGGGTCCATGAAATCGAAGTTTAACAAATCGTTGATCCCCATTGCCTTCAACATGAGGATAGTGTGGGCCAAATTCTGTCGCTGAATATCTGGAACAGGGCTGGGGAGCATTTCGTTGCGATATGCCGCTTCTGTGTACAGTCGATAACACTTTCCAGGACCAGTGCGACCAGCTCGACCAGCACGTTGACGAGCCTGGGCTTGAGAAATGGGCTACATGACATTTGATGTTCAACCTTGAGAACCTCACGGGAAGTTACTTAAGGACTTACCGTCACAACCAAGGAGTCCATGCCTAGCTTGGGATCGTAGGCGTTTTGCTTGACAAAACCTGGATCAATGACATAATAAATGCCGTCGATCGTGATGCTTGTCTCAGCAATATTAGTTGCAATGACTACCTTCCGTGCCCCCGGAGGCGCAGGATCAAAAATCTTCGATTGCATTTCGGAGGGAAGAGCAGAATAGACGGGGAGAATAATGAGCTGAGGGACTTGAGGACCTAAAGTCTTCATTCGCTCAAACAGTATTTCACAAGCAGTGTCGATTTCCTCCTGTCCAGTAAGAAAGAGTAAGATGTCACCTGGAGGCTCGGACAGGTGAATTTGCATGATGGTGATGAGAGAGGCGTCCAAATAATCAGATTCTGGCTCTTTCGTGTAGAGAATCTCCACAGGATACGTCCGACCAGGGATGGTGAAGATACTGCACCCGAAAAAGTACCTCGAGAACTTTTCGGCATCAAGGGTTGCGGATGTCACAATAACCTTCAAGTCAGGACGCCGCTTCAAAGCCTCTAAAGAAGCAGTTAGCGTTGCAGATGAGCTCAAAAGGAGCCGGAACAACATACTTTTGAGGAGGCCAAAGAGGACATCGGTAGCAATCGTACGTTCGTGCGCCTCGTCAAGCATGATGACCGAATAGGCGCTCACGTCTGGATCAATGAGACACTCGCGCTGAAGCATGCCATCCGTCATATATTTTATTTTCGTCTCCGGACCTGTGCAATCCTCGAACCGAATCGTATAACCGACCTCCTGCCCCAATCGGCATCCAACTTCCTCAGCTACACGTTTTGCCACGGACATTGCGGCAACACGACGAGGCTGCGTGCATCCGATTTTTTTGTGGTCAGCGTAACCTGCTTCAGCGAGATACTGGGTCATTTGAGTGGTTTTCCCTGATCCAGTATCACCAACGACAATCAGGACTTGATGCTAATTCATTCAGTGACAAAGAGTGCGGGATGGGACGGGACAAAACTTACATCATGTATAGCCTCCAGAAGGGGTTCACGAAGCTTGTATATCGGCAAGCTTTTTCGCTGTTCAGCGATGGGCAACGAAGTAATTTTTCCGAAAGTTGTTGCCTTGTTGAATGTTTCTTGCTTCCATTGCGGAACTTCGCTCGCCTTCTGACCCATGAGGTGACCACGCAAATCCTGGGCGAAAATCTTGTCCTGATTATTGGCCATCGGATCCAGCCACGGTGCGTTGAAGTCCCGAGCCTCCGAATCCGCCAATTCGTTGGCTTCTTGTTGCCGCAATTCCTTGCGCTCTTTCGCAAATGAAGCTCCGGCCAAGGCAGCACGATTCAATGAACCATCCGGTGCTTTAATAATTTTCACAGGACTCATGTCCAAAGTCTGCTTCGTCTGTCCTCGAAGGAAAGGCGGTTCCTCCTCACGAACTTCAACGTCAAGTTCTTCTTCTACTTCAGCTTTCGCCATTGGCGAGTTAAAGTCATCGTCGATATTCGGGTATTCGGAAGCGTCAATCGCCCCGGATGCAATGAGTTGTTTGATCTCCCATCGTTCGGGGAAGTGAGGCGTCTCGCCGAATGGGATGCGGCCTCTCCGGCGAATCCACCAAGAGGAATAGCATTGGAAGAAGATGCTCGCTCGGCATGCCGTCGGGTTTCCTCTGCCAGTTCAGCGTCTGATTTGATTCGCAAATGTGGGGTGAGATCGTCCCCTGTCCGTTGATCAACATCCCGCATCGATAAACTGATTCGGCTTCCCGCAATACTCATCACTTTCACTTTAACGGACTGACCACGAGACAATAGGTCAGCAGGGGAGTTGACCCTCCCCCCACCTGCCTGAATGGCGGAAATGTGACACAGCCCTACAGAAAAGCGTCAATGGCACGTTGTCATGCATAAATTACACAGCAGGGTACCTTCGGCCCTTCCCTCAACACCATCGAGTTGAAGGAAAGCACCAAATTCCTTCAGACTTGAAACTCGAGCATTATAGATCTTGTAGAGAACGGGTTTTGAATCAAGCTGAACCCTCCCATTTGTCTGGGAGCGCCCCCTAGAGTAACCGCCCCTGCCGTCGCGATCTCGGGGAGGGCTAGGACTTCGTCGCGGTGGGTGACGAGGAGGGCTGGGTGAGTTCGGACGACGACGTTTAGGAGATGGTTCCCCATTCGCTTCAAGGAAATCACCTGCAGTGGGGCGATTACGTGCGCGCTTATTCGCAACGCCTTCGAGTTGGGACATAAGATCGTCAACCTCTTTGGCAGTTGCGTCTTCGACGGGGGCATCAAACTCATCCGATGGCCGCCATTCCTGGTCAGGTTTCGACAAACCGGGAAACATTCGAGCCTTTTTCTCCTTCTCTGATAATACCAACTCCTCGGCTGCCAGGCTCGCGTCTACCATCCTGGACTTGGTATTCGTGGACCGTTTCTTGTGCTTTGGGTGCATATTTAAAATAAGCCGATCCATATTTTCAACAAAGGAGTCAGGGAATTCTGCCCCCACTTCTTGAAGCCTTTGCTTGAACTCCGGAAGAGTCTTGGACTGATCATGGAGGGCTATTACAAACTCAGCTAATGTCTTGTCATTGATGCCTACCGCGCAATGTCACCCAGTTGCATTAATTAATCAGCTATAAACACACCTACCTGTATGGTTCAGTATTTCTTGAGTGATTTTGTTGACCGCAGCCAACACTTCAAATGTGTACAAGTCATCCATCCAGAGCTCTGAAAAATCTGAATCGACAACGCAAAGTCACGTGTCTGGGGAGCGACATTAATCGCCTCGCCAATTTGGCCACACCGATTACAGCCTGTGGTAGAAGATGGCTCTACCTCGATCCCCTGTGACATGCCACGGTGAATTTAGCTCCACCATAAAGGAATCTCCTCGCTCAGCTTTGACTCCACTAGTCTTGGATTCCAGCTTTGGCAAACCCGCTGAAGATATTGGCGTCTTCTTAGAAAAGTTTAACTTTGACACTTCTGCATTCGATATGTTGGGGAAAGGGTATGATGGGATGCCCCTTTCTCGTGTATACTGGATGCAACACATTAGATTACCTAGAACCACAAATGAGCAAGGACGATGTGAAACGTTGCTCGATCCTAACCATCAGCTCAAGCCTGGTCTCTATAAGCTCACGTTCCAAACTGGCGACTACTTTGTGGCTACCAAAAGAGATTCATTTTACCCCGTAATAGATGTAAGGACAATACCAGTTTGCTCCAAGGGGACATTGACTAAGCCTTGTGGCCATTTAAAGATTACTTTCCATATCGCCAAGGACGAACATTATCATATCCCTCTACTGCTTAGCCCTTGGTCTTACACTACATACAGGGGTTCCTGATATGTGGTCCAGAAACGGTCTAATCCACGGTTTGCATATCAATGAATGGGACAAAACCGATCACAAAGGGAAGTGAAGGTATCGTTGACGGCAAATCAAGTATGAAGGTACATTACGGCAGATAAGGTGCTGTATCGGTGTGTATGCGGTGTCTATGATCATATGAGCACATGTCTATCGCGACGTGACGAAAACGCGGTCAAATGTTTCTCCTTTGACCGTCCCACCCCTCAGAGAATTCTTGACGTTCCGCATGAAGCCCTCGCGATCCCGTTTCAGGTCCTCGGCCGCATCTGTACGTGTTAGGAGGGCTGTGAATTCCGAATGACACCGCTGAGAATTGACACCCACCTTTGTTCAAGGGGTCATCGGCATTGGGCTCAAGGAAAAGATACTGAAGCCCAACCATGACCGAGTTGAGGTTGAGCACGGGCTTCCAGTCTTCCCGAAGAATATTTAAACAAACATTTCCCTCTAGGTCTATGTTAGGATGATAAATCTGCCATGCAAACAAAGTTGAGTTACAACACGCGCAATGGACAGGTGGGACTAACCTTAGGGATGCACTTGACCTTTGGTGGCTCATGCGGGTAATTATTGTTGATGTTGAAGGAGAAATCAAAGGATGCCCCCTGGTACATTCCTGAACCAACATTTAGCATAAATATCGAGGGAAACGAGCTAAGCTGGTAACTAGCCTTCGTCTGGTGTCAGTGTAAGCGTGAAATTGAGAAGATCTTCGGGGTTAGGGAACGTGGTCGTCATCGTTTTCGGCAGCTCCAGCTCCGTCAAATCTGAACAAGTCAGAAGAAGGTCAGCGGATCGTCCGATCACACGACAAAACAGCACGCACCTTTCTGGACACGGATCTGGGCTGCACTCGTTTTTGGCTTCTTCTTGGCAGCCGCATCTTGCGACTTCTTCATAGACCAAATCTGCGAGATCCGAACAAGGGGGTAAGAATAATCGTCCCCACCGGTCCCAACATCCAATCGCGCACCTTTACCATAGACATGATGAATGGCCGTCAGTAGGTGGTGCGGACACTGAATGAGTTGTTGAGGGAATGCCAAAAATCGAGTCAGAGCTGTGCAGGCGCTTCAATCGTGGCTTCCGTGCCTGCATCGGAGGTCTCCAGGTTTGCTTCCGCAGAGACCTCGGTTTTGCAAATCATGGCTTCGACGGAACAAGAAGTACCAGCTGCCGCAAGCGCTGAGGCTCGGGAGGTCCCTCCCGATAATAAGGTTCCAAGGACTGCTACCGATCTCTCTCTTGTCGAAGAACAGGGAGATGAGAATGGGAACGAAAGAGCGTCTCCAATTGAAGGTACGATTGGCGCCGTTCTAACTTGTTAACTATTTGCTCTGACGTGGAGAAGAAGTTGAGAAGAAAAAGAAGAGGAAGAAGAAAGTGCAGAAGGCTGTCCAAAGTGATCCACCCCGAGTCGGTCTCTCTAAGCTTTTCCCAAATAATGTTTACCCGGAGGGTCAAATACAGGAATATAAAGACGAGTGTGCCACGTTGGTGTTCTTGATTGCTCTGGCTTAACTCTGTTTGATAGCAACCACTATCGAACAACTTCGGAGGAAAAACGATATGTTGAGCGGCAAATTAACCAAGATCCCGAGCACACGTACAATTCAATTCGCCGCGCAGCGGAAGTGCACCGGCAAGTGCGAGAATACGCGCGCCGTTGGGTTCGTCCGGGAATGACAATGACAGAAATTGCCAATGGTATTGAGGATAGTACCAGAGCTCTGGTCGAAGAGAAGGGAATGGAAAGCGGCATTGGCTTCCCAACAGGTCTCAGTCTCAATGACTGTGCTGCCCATTATACGCCAAATGCAGGTGATAAGATTGGTGAGCATGTTCTACTCCGCTGTGAGGGGTCTTCTGACCGGTGTTCCTGGTCAGTGCTCAAATCGGGGGACATCTTGAAGGTCGACATTGGAGTGCAAGTGAAAGGGAGGATATGTGACTCCGCGTTCACATTATCTTGGAATCCGGACTACGAGAACTTGCTGACAGCCGTCAAAGATGCAACCAATACAGGGATTCGGGTAGGTTGCACGTCCAGTGGTTCCGTTGTTTGCTTCCCAATCCCCCGAATATTTAGGAAGCAGGAATAGACGTCAGATTAGGGGAAATAGGAGGCTACATTCAAGAGACCATGGAATCCTACGAAGTGACAATCGGGACAAACACCTTGCCAAGTCAGTGAAGCCTCATTGGCATTAGCCTCATAATATTTAGTCGTAAATCTTAGTTAAGTCGATCGAAAATCTAACTGGCCATACCATCGGGCTGTACCAAATACATGGCGGAAAGTCGGTACCGATCGTGAAGACCGGAGATAGGACCAAAATGGAGGAGGGGGAGTATTTTGCCATCGAGACGTTTGGCAGCACGGGCCGGGGACATGTGGTTGAGAGTGTGAGTTGGATGACGTCGCATTTCGTTTTGGACTCACATCAGATGCAGGGGGAAGTCTCACACTATGCCAAGATTTTAGGGGGTCCAAAGCCAAGAAGGTTTGTCAGAGCTTTGGTCGAATTAAGGGAGGGCTGATTTTTGGTGGCAGAGATGCTCCGGCATCGGCTAAGAAGGTGCTTTCTGCCATCAACAAGCATTTCGGTACACTACCATTCTGTAGGCGATACCTTGATCGTGCTGGCGAGACGTCATACTTGTATGGGGTAAGGAAAGTTTTTCATGTTACCGCGTGTTTAATGATGGAAGGACGCTCCGCAGCTTCAAAAACTCGTGCAAGAAGGTATTGTTCAAGACTATCCACCGTTGAAAGATCAACCCGGATCCATGACAGCCCAGTTTGTAAGTACTCGATTTTTTCCGCGATTAAATTAAACCTATGCTATGTTGTAGGAGCACACGATACTTCTTCGGCCAACTGTGCGTTCGGCCAACTAAACTTTTTGCTTCCACTGACTGACGCACCATTACCCAGGTCAAGGAAGTTGTGAGTCGCGGTACTGACTACTAGGATCCTTCGGGTGCGTCTAGCGTCGCGGTCACAATGCACAGCAGCCTTTCATACCCCCCCTCCCTTACGGATCGCTTTATTTGCTTCAGGATGATTCGTCGGAGCCGCTCGAGTCCAGCGAGACCACGGAACTGAAGTCTCAATCTCATGTTCATTACCGTGTCAGATGTCCTGAGGCTTCAATACAGAATCATGTACGCAGAAGCAGGGGAATTAACCGACAGCACTGTTGTCAGGCGTGGTCTCGCAGAACTACCACCTCCCCAGTTGTCACATCCCCTCCTCCGGGGGATCGACGAAGGCATGGTCTGTGTTTCCCCCTCCATTCCCAGAACTGCGCGCCATAAGACAGATACTTGCTTGTCGTGCAAGGGACATCATAACGTCTTTAAACACTCCGATACCTTTCTTTGCCACAAGTTATGGAATGGACATGCTGGCGTCTCATCCGGACAGCATCGATAACCCAATACCCCTGTCATCCGACCCGGCGACGGTTCGATCATCCGAATAGTATACATACTCGAACGTCATCGTTCAGGGAAACGGCCTGTGCGAGCCTAAACGCAATGCGATCGAAGTTGCTCAGACAGACGAGACAGCCCCGACTGAGGACTTTCAACGTGATCGGTGTAAGTAACTGTCCCTTCTTCGAAGCTGCCCGTGACGGAGCATGCCTCCTGCCGTTCTCCCAGTGTTGAGCATCCGATTTGCCAAATGTCCTAGCATCTATCGCATATAGGTAATAGATGCTGATTGTGTCCACATGCATGCCAAATGGCATGCGCCTTGGACGTTGCGAACCATTCTTTGATATGTTGACTCAATCGACAAGGTCACTTTCGTCCCGACAGTTTATATTGCCCTTCGTGCGGTGGGAGGCTAGCTAACTTGTCGCACGTAAAAAAAGCAAAGCAGTGGCAGTCCGCTGAGGTCCGAAACCTTGATCAATTTCATTCGAACTCTCACGTACTTGGTCACTGTCTGTGTGAAAGATATATCCAAGCATGTGCGTGCTGAAATCGTTACTGACGCGCATCAGGTGTCCCGCACTTAGAAGCGAGCAAGATCTCGTCCAAAGATCCAATTTGTAAACCAATACCAAGGGATGTTAAGCCTAGTTGAAATGACGCCTCCGTTAAGCGATGACCACAGCAAAAGTGGACAAGCCTTACATGTTTCGAGGGCTCATGGCCATAGAGAAGTAGGCGGATCGCCATAGTAACCATGCTATTCGTCTGACAGGAGGTTTCTGGGATTAAAAATGTTGGCCCGAACACTAAAATTAGATCATTACCCTTTGGCTTTAGTTTGAGGTCCCGATTCAGCGGTACTTCGATCGTAAACCGCTTTCCTAGCGCAATATACTTAACGGTGAAACCACATGAACAGAGGACAACATACCAGTCTCCAACATATGCCAAACTTCCTCGAAAATGGAACTTGAAACCATCTGCTTGTTTGCCCTTATTCAAGCACTTGACGAGGTACTATCAAGGGGCACCACTTCGAATGATTACTACAGAAATAGAAGAGGGTTGTGAGGCGTACCATGGCTTTCTGACTTGCAACTTGAGCTGTAGCGGGCAATGGGTCGTCCTCGATTACACTCGCATCTCCAATGGCCCACACATGTGCGAGTGATTTTCCCGTTTTGTCATCCACAACACGCAACTTCTTATCAGTTATCAGCCTATTCCGGCAATGAATGACTAGATTCTAGCAACATCAATGTTTCATGCTTACGATCCAGTGCGTTTGTCTTTCCTAAGCTCAGTGAGGGACGATATAAGCGGATTGGCTGCCAGCCCGGTGCTCCACACGCATAAACCGAACGGTACTGTAGATCCATGATCCCGTCAGGCAATGAAGAAATATATGGCGAATGAGCTGTCACATACCCCATCCTTCGCCGGAAACTTTCAACGTGAACTACGCGAGATGCTGAATTAATGATGAGCAAGTGGAGACACACGACCTACAGGCTTCACTTCCTCCACCCCATGCTTGCTCTTTACCTCGCTGAGGTAACATAGAAGATGGGGAGGCGACATCGAAAAAGATGCTCACATTCCGTCTGACTTGAACTTCTCTGTTGCATATCTCGACAATGACTCGTCGAACGTTCCCAAAATTTTATCACTTGTCTACACCATCGAAACATTACTCCTTTATAAAAGCGGTGCACCCTGAAGTCAGACGAACCTCATACACTGTGATCCTGACGTACGAGATGAGTTGAGGGAAATGAGCCCTCATGTCCGTTTGGCACAGATCGTGGAGTTCCGCGGCGAACTCAACACCCTATGAAAGGCGGTCATCATGAACAATAGTGGCCCAGACGAATGAAATGACAGTCCCCACAGTCGGGCCACCTCCAACAATGACGAAGTTCATTAGCTTCTGCTTTTCCGCTTCTGTGCAGTTGGGCTGTGAAGCTTGTGTGAAACCTGCAATCTTTAATTAGCAAGTGCATCTAGAAATGTCACGGCTTCGGGACTTCCTACATTCAAGGATCCGCATCCGTATAGCCCGAGCATCACGGACATTCTTTAAGAAATGTACATATTCCTTGACACTGAAGAAACCATGACAAGTTTTGATAGAGGGGAAATATGGGGTGGGCCTACCCAGGGATATTAAACGTTTGACTGTATGCCCCAACAGCAATGACCAGTTTGTCGTATCGAACTTGGTATGGTGTTCCATAAGAAGGGTTTTGACCTTGGGGTGCGGTCGGCGCACCAGGGGCTGAGGCATTAGGGGAGGTGAGTGAGTGTCGAGAGAGGACAACACCGTAGGGAGGTGTGCTTGGTGTCTAAAAGGGATGAACACAAACATATTCAAGGAAACTGAATGAAGGATTAGCGCACACAATGCACGATCTTATTCTCCAGGTCTAATGTAAGGATTTGGATTCTAGCATTCAGCGCAAAGAATTAGGTCGGTTAGCCAGTGAGACCAACCGATTTTGTCAGCCCAAGCTTCATGTATAGTCTGACGCAGTAATGTAAGCACCTTGGAAGTGGCTGGGAGTGAGAGATAAACATACAGCTGCTGGAGAATAATTTCGCAGCTGGAAGCCGTGCCATCAGCTAGGCAGTCGGTGGTCAAAGGCATAGATACTTACAGACTCGATTGCAGCCCTAAACTCGAGAGTTCCGACGGCGGTCTCAGCAAGCAAGGGCGTCATGTTGAAATACGAGCTCGGACTGAAACGGTAATTTCCATTAATTTATCGTAACTCTAACCGTTGTGCAGCCCACCTAATCATGGCGACATCATATTTCTGCTTGTCGATCCGTTTGAGGACGTTAAAGCCACCCCAACCCGAACCCAGAATGACCACCCTCTCTTTTGCACTCGTCGAATATGAGGTGCAAAATGTACGAAGAGACCCACTCGAAAGTGGGCCCAGGGCACGAATGTGCTTGTGACCTCCCTGCTTGACGAGATGACAGAACATGAAGAAAATTTCAGCCTAGTTGTGAGTTCAAGAGCAAGTCTATGAAGGTTTGTGATGTCACACGTAAGTGTATTCGGGGAAGTTTAACTCTTACCCGGATACCGGTAATCGCCACCCGTCCCGCACCGACGCGAGATCCCTCCGTTCCTTCCCTGGTATGCGTGGTCATTGCCTCCAACAATGACTCGCTCAACGGGGCTGGGACCGAATAAAAACATGCCAGCGCTGGGACAGCAAGATTAATAGTAAGACGATAGAGCCTGCGAATCTTGGCAAATACGCGTCAATGTGAATTTTACAACCCATGTAAAAGGAAGAGTGATGGCGAAGCAGCGATAGGCAGGATCCCACTGGCAGCCTCTACTAAAGTAGAAAGCAGCGACGGACATGGAGGAATACTGAGTAGGACACTCGCTGCTTTCCAGCATTTTTCGCTAAACATAACAATGTAAAAGATGTGAATGATAGTATTCCCTTAACGTCTTATCATTGACAACCTACCTCACATCACCGAAAGACCTACGACTTTGTGGTTTTTGAGGGATTTAATGACAGGCATCGCAGCAGGCCGGCATCAATGTTCACTGGAAGGCGTGGAAAAAGAAACTGCCCTTCGATGACGAGGCAGCGCTCAGTTCTTCGCCAGTGACGTTCATAGCCTGAGTGGCTAAGAGTCCCCGAAGAGCTCCTGAGTTTGAAGGAACGGGTTTTTCTATGTTCAACAATCAATTCGTCCCCACCACGAGGGCGGTATTTGCATGAATTCGCGCAGAGTCATGCTTGGACCATCCACGCCAAAAATTACATACGTGCTACGTGCATTACGACAGAATCCTACGTCAGATCGGTCGTAGATACTTCCCTGCAGCACGTTTTCTGGGGATGCTAAAGCGACGAGGATTCGCTGCTTAAACCGCGAAGCGTCTGATATCATCTGAAACCCACATGGCCATCGGTATCGAACCGCAAACATAGCTACTAGGGGCCCAAAGGAGAGTCAGAGGCGGAGCAGAGAGCCTCCAAAACAACACCCAATGATGATAATCGGGCGGGAGAATTCACCGAACATGAAATGCACCCAGATCAAATACACGGGATCCCTTAGATCACTGTCACTTTCGGTATCATCTATGGCTATCAGAAGCATTGATTCTTGACAAGACTCCAAAAAAACCAGCCCGAAAGTTCTGAGATTTATTTGGACCTTTGTTTCCCACGCACAAACATCTCCGACTCCTTTTCATCAACTGCGACATCGTATTTCGCCTTGCTGCATATATCTTAGCACACATCTTGGCCTTAAATCTTAATGAATCCAAAACTATCCATGCCAGCCATTCGCTCGTTTTCCCGAGACATGGCCAAAATCTCGCCCTTCCACGTGACCGGAGATTTCTTGTTTCCGTGGGCCGAATGGAGAATTCGGGAAATGGAGCGTTACCACCCTTCGTTGAAGCAACTCGATCAAGTGCTGATCGAGCTGCGAGACGACTACAACAACACTCAGCCATAATCAACTCGGCATCGACACCATCCATGGCTTCGTCCCGTGAGTGCCCATACCCCGCTGGCCAGCGCCATCTATGAATACTTGAAGTATTGCCTTAACGTGTCTCACAGCCTACACTACCCGACTCATCGACGCCCCAAATACTTTGGGTACGTGTGCTGCACCTCACAACTCAGTTGGAACTCACTCCCGTAATCCGATCTCCCGTTGATATAGCTCACCGCGTGTTCATCGAGCACAACGGCAACGTCGTCTCACCCTTCCACGATATTCCACTCTTCGTGGATCAGAGTAATGGGATTCTCAACATGATCGTTGAAGTGCCTCGTTGGACGAATGCAAAGATGGAAATTTCGAAGGAGGAATTCTTCAATCCCATCAAACAGGATATCAAGAAAGGCAAACTTCGCTTTGTCAGGAACTGTTTCCCTCACCATGGCTACATATGGAATTATGGTGCATTCCCTCAGGTATGCCCCCCCTCCCAACCGATCGCGCCCTCGTCCCTATACTTACCAGCCTCGTATTTACGTTGTCTTCACCTGCACTTGCTCTGACGCGATAGACTTGGGAAGATCCCAATACGACACATGCAGAGACTAAGGCTAAGGGCGACAACGATCCCCTGGATGTATGTGAGATCGGTGAACAGGTTGGGTATGTCGGTCAGGTCAAGCAGGTCAAGGTTCTTGGCATCATGGCCTTACTCGACGAGGGCGAGACGACTGGAAGGTCATCGTCGTTGACATAAATGATCCTCTTGCGTCCAAACTTAACGACATCGAAGATGTTGAGCGCAACTTGCCTGGTTTGATTCGTGCCACCAATGAGTGGTTCAGGTGAGATCGTGATTCTGGACACGGCGACTCCGAGTCATTGATCACGTTTCCCCTTCGGTAGGATTTACAAAATCCGTACGTTCTCTTGATTTTTCTGAGGTTCCGAACCAACTTCTGCCATCTAGCCGACGGGAAACCCGAAAATGCATTCGCCTTCTCGGCGAAGCCAAGAACAAGAAGTACGCTACGGAAATAGTGCACGAGTGTCACGAAGCTTGGAGACGCCTCGTCTCAAACGAAAGCCTTGCTAAAACTCCTTCCTACGAAATCTCAATGTAAGCGAGATCTGACATCCAATACCTCCCTGTGATGCTGTTCTCTGACCGGCATTGTGTCGCTTGCGTGCCGTTCACAGTGCAAACGTTACCGTTGAAAACTCTCTTGGAAGAGTTACTAGGAATGATCCCAACTACGTAGAGCTTCCACCAGACTCGAGGAAGCCTCCAGCTCCAATTGATCCTTCAAGTGAGTTTAGGGGGGCAAAAATCGACTTTGCCTTACCCTGTATCTTTTCATCTCTGTCGGTATCGTTCGAGCTGACGGTAAACTTTATCAATTTTATTTTTACGATATTGCAGTTTCTAAATGGTGAGCTGGAAACTGCCTTCGCGAATAGCTTCGCTCATCTCGCTTTCATTGTCTGTGTGCCACCCTCTTCTCAGGTTCCATATCTCCTCTGCTCAAATATAGACGCCGGATGGATCGAGAGTGCTAGCCAAGGCCTCAGGTCGAAGCCCAAGCTGCGAACTTCCGCAAGAGTCGATATTGTGTACTGTATTCTGGTTGGTATATGAATGGAAACTAAAGGTCTTTTGCCGCTCATGTGCAGCACCATGAGATTGAGAAGTCATCCGTTGATCATCTGAATCGTAACGTCCCACGTATGAAATGTCAAACGATTGGGATGATAAATGCAACGGGCCGAAAACGTGTTCATATAGTACAGAGCGTCTCAACTAGAGAGTATCTATAAGCGAATATTAAGACGCTCTACGCCACGGGCATTCGGGAATAAGGCCATCCTACACACGCTTCGAGGAAGAGGTGCAACGTTCGAGCATTGCGTTTATTCTATGCCAATCCCAACTCCGTGCACATGTACAACCTGATTCTCGTCCACCATGCAGAATAACGTATTCGAGTGGCGTGTGCCCCAAACCACTCATCGTTTGGTGCAAGGTTGCACTCACAGTTGGGTAGATGAATAAACTTAGGGCCTTTCCTGATGATGAAATTGTCGTCTTTTCGGAAAAGTACATCGATATTACTTGTCGAGTTCATGCTGTGCAGATGGACGACGATGTTGTACATGATGTGTTGAATTGGACAAGCGGCTCAACTCACGCGCCTAGGCGCAGACCCTGATGGTGCATATCAGCCTACGAGCCTCGAGACGCGAAAAGGGACTCAACATACGGAATCGATCCCACGCCCACGGACTTGATGAGAGGTGCCTGGCGGGATGGTGTCAGAGAGGCGGCCCACCACCTCCAGCTAGAGGCGGGGCCAACCAATCGGGACGCCCGCATCGAGGAGCCTGCCAAGAATACGATGCACCTCTCTCGAGTCACTGCTAAGAAGGGGGACGGGGACGTGATGATCAGCTCCATTGGGCATGGCGGGAGACACAGACCTCCGCTGTCTGATTTCAGGTGCTTCGCCGGAGACTCGGACACAATGTCTATGTCATTCGCCTTCCGCTTCCGGCCTGCGCGTTCTGCTCATCGAATGTTGCCTTGAAGGGCATGTGGACCAGGACCAGGGACGGGATCAGCGGGAGAGGTGGATCCGGGGTCTTGCGCAATTCGCCCTGGACAAACGGCGGGATGAGGATGAGAGGTCACTCAAGGAACTATTCACGCAGTGACACAATGTTCATGTCCACCCGGCTATTGGGCACCGATATACTCTCCTTCGACACGTCAAGGAGTTGCTTCGCATAGTGGGTAAGGCGTACGTGGGCTTGCTCAATCGCGTCAATAGCAGCATCCTGTTAAATCCGCGATAACATCTTCCATCCGCATGAGCGTGGCGCACAACGACTTGTCGAACTCCGGAAAACGTGACCGCGGGCCTAATCTTTGTTTGTGGCGGCAATTGTGGGAGTCGAATAGACTGTTCTTGCGGTTCACTGTTGGTGGGGGAGAAAAGCAGATATCGAGGTCAATTTAAAATTTAATGGAGGCACGAGATTAACCGTCGCCACCCTATCCTTGACGCATTCGCTCACACACAAGATGGGTCTTCATGATTGGAATCATGGTACGTCGTATCTCGTGTCACTGAGCGAGTGCTCAACTTGGGCTGCGCCCGGAACTCGTTTCTAATTTGATCTGGAAGACCTCATGAGCTTCCCTGGTCTGGGCTCGGTGCTGAGGACGGGCCAGTAACAGGTCTGCATCTAGTATACCCTAGCGTATGGGAACGGAACTGCACATGATGTCTCCGAACAGAGAATTTATAGGAAATCATAGGGTTATGCCACAAGGGGGCCGGGGTCGGACCAGATGATAGTCGGGGCTGATCTCCAACAGAATTGCATACGCATTGTTGCGACCTGGGAAGTCGCCCACGCGGTGACCAATCGAAGCCAAGTGCGACAATGATTTTTTCGACATGCGTGAGATCCCCTCTTCCCATCTAGCTTGGGTCAGTGGCGAGCGGCAGTCAGGAAAGCAGATTGTGTCATGGCACTATATAGTGAGGGCGGGACCGACAAGAAACTCATCGTCGTCGAGGCTTTTACATCCGGGGTCAACGATGTCGCGCAACTTGGTCCATGACAGTTCAGGTGGGACCGTGATCCTAGATTCCCATTTGGTAGGATTCACAAAACTTGAGGTTTGTCACTCGGTCGACAGGAGAACCTAAAATGGTGAAGCCGAGAACAGGAGGAATGGTGCACGAGTACAAACGAGAGGCTTGCCAAGACTCCTTCTCGATGGAAGCAATATCTGACTGCCGCTAATGTCTACACGCTGTCAATGGTGCGGACCTAGCTTTCCGGCAAGTGTTACCGGGAATGGTTCCAGGTACACAAGGCTTCCGCCAGACTCGAGGACTCCACTTTAACTGATCCATTTAGGCGGCAGTAGTTGGTCCTTGTAAGCGTTCAGCTTACAGTCCTCCCCCTTTTCATCTATATCGGGATCACGCGAGCTGATGCCGAACTTGTTCATTTCGCTTTAGCGATAATATTTTCACCGTATTGGCGATCGACCATGTGCCATCCTCTTTGGGAGTTCCAGCCTTGACTTACGGCCTACAGATGCCTGCCCTCGAACTTGCGTAAGAGTTGTGTTATGTACTATACACCGCCGATTAAGGTCCGCACGCCGCATAGCATCGGTCAATCGTCCTATGATCACGGGCTGGGTAGTAAGAGGAAGCAACAGAAGATAAGCCTTTAATAGAGACAAGATTGACAGCACTTTGAACATATTTACCATCGGAAATTGGCCTCTCCGTTGGATGCGGGGACCAGTCACGGGTTGTGCCCTTTTGGGCTGAGGCTTTCGTGAGATCTGTTTTCGCGGTCATGAACAGGGTAAAGTATATAAGGTCACCAGCCATAGCTGGGGACCACTTCCAACCTCCGCAAGAACATGGCATCTCCTTCGTCGAGGAAGCCTGCAGTCGAGCAAGAACAATTCCATACCCTTGTCAACCATCGAGAGTTTCCGGCACCCTTGTCTGCCATCGAGCGCGATGAGTACGATGTCGTTATCATAGGCGCCGGTCCGGCAGGTGTGTATTCTGCATTCCGATACCGTTTAGTCATGACTAGCTAATGTCCATGTTCTCTCGCTCAGGGTTATTCCTGTCCTCCGCTCTCGCTCGTTTAGGAGGCCACAAGGTCTTAACGATCGACCAACGTATCCAGCCTACAGAAGCAGGTCGTGCGGATGGTATCCAGCCTCGTACAGTCGAAGTTCTCAAAAATATGCAACCGCTCGGTGACGATTTGTTCTCTCGTTCGAGCGCAAGCTTCGAACGAAGTTTTTGGAATCCAACTAAGGACGGGAGAGGGATCGAACGTTCACGAAGAGTACAGTCTTTCCCTACTCATTTGGAGATCGAGGATAATTGCACTCTGGGCTTACAACAGGGTATGTTGCCGATGGGGTTTAATCACCGGTGCGGAAACGCGCTTGACACCTCTTCCCGTTCTTCGTCTATACTCCTATTCCTACCTTGGATGGAAAATAGGTTTAATCGAACAGGGCTTTCTCCGCGATATGGAAGCCCACGGAGCGCATGCGACAAGACCATGGACGTTCAAGTCGTTTAAAATCGTCGAGAGTGACTCAGATTACCCAGTTCACATCACTTTGCAACATGCAAAGGAACAATTTGACCGGAGCGTTCGTGCCAAGTATATGGTTGGATGTGATGGTGGTCGTTCGTCTGTGCGACATTTCCTTCAGGTTCATCATGGATTCAAATTTGATGGAGAATGGGTGGATACTCTTTGGGGTGCTATTGATGCTGGTATGTTCATAGTATTTTTTGCCTTGAATTGGCTTAATTATGTCCATTAGTGGTCAAAAGCGACTTCCCGGATCTTCGCAAGATCGCTACAATTCACTCGAAGAACAACGGAGGCGAGTCTCCTCCTATAACAGGAAGCTAATTTTTGCTCAACCACCACTGCAGCAATGTACATATTTCCACGGGAAAACTCCGCCTCAGGCAAGCCTATCGTTCGTCTATACACACAAGTAAACGTTGTGGATGGAGTCAAGGACAAGAGCCTTGCCCATGCAGCCCGCGATTCAGTGACAATGAAGACTATTATCGATGCAGATAAGAAAATCATTGCACCGTACAAGCTAGAGTTCGAAGAAGTTGAATGGTGGACTGCTTATCCTATTGGGCAGCGACTTGTATCGTCGTACTCACATAAGAACCGCATATTCTTGGCAGGAGGTACGGTTGGCACTCGTTTTCTCGGATGTTGTGTTTCTCATTATGGTGAATTCTTCCCTCAGATGCATGTCACACGCACTCGCCGAAGGCTGGACAAGGCATGAACACCGCTTTAATGGATGCTCACAATCTCAGCTATAAGGTAATATCCGAAGAATGGTGATCTCTTGAGGTCCAGATCTAACTCTCGACGTTTTTATAGCTCCATCATGTCCTTTCTGGGCTAGCTAAACCAAATCTTCTCTCCACCTACCACACCGAAAGGTGGAAAATAGGCAAACAACTTATTGATTTCGATGCAGAGTACGCTGCAATTTTCTCAGGCGAGATTCCAAAGAATCGGCCTGAATTGGCTAAATTATCTGCGGAAGAATTGGCGGACTATTTCCTTCACGTTCAACGGAGAAATGCGGACTTCACTTCAGGGGTTGGGGTTGTTTATGCAGATGATCCACTTACGGTTTCGAATGCCAAGTTATCGAAGTTTGGTTTAGAACTTATCAAAGACCTGAAGCTGCGTGCTGGTGAACGGTTATTATCTGCTTTGTAAGTGTTATTCAACCTTGGTTCAAAGGAACCTTATCTCACTTTGGCTGGCCGTATTTTGCACTCTAGCGTCACCCGGGTGTCGAATCTTCAGCCTGTTCGTCTCATTCACGAGATCCAATTTGATGCACCTGGTGCTTTCCGCCTTTATGTGTTCGGTGGTGCATTTGACTCCTGCAAGCGAAGACTTCGGGCCTTCTCTACGTACCTTCTCAAACCGAACAGCTTCGTTCAGAGGTTCAAGCCCGCATTGCCGAAGGGTGCGAAGAGAGTTCTGCCTGCTGCTATGAATACGGGTGTCACAGGTTACGAGTGAGTTTTCGTGATCCCTCAGAACTGACCGAAGGGCTGAATTACTGGTTAATGATAGGGAGCTGAATCCGTGGTTCAATATCCTTACTATCATTCGAAATAGTCGCTTCCGATTCAATTTGGAGGATTTCAAGGACTTCCCCGGTCTGAACTCGATGTTGTACGCTGATGATGAGGAACAAGGAGGCGATAAGATTGGTGATGCCGGTATGTTGTCGCTTCATTGCGTCAGTGCGTCACAATACTCATTTTGGCCAAAACAAGATGGAGATGCTACGGTTGGTGGAGTGCATCGCAAGTATGGCCTCGACAATGACGGGGGTATTGTTATTTGCCGTCCAGACGGATATGGTGTGTCTCTATCGTTGACGATTGATTATTCCCCGCTCACATCAAACGGGTTTTCGTTTAGTCGGTATCGTTGTACCAATCACTCAGGCAGGCTTCATTGCAATCGATAAATACTTCGGCTCCATCCTCCTCCCGACCACCCATGAGACGCAGCCGAAGCCACGACTATGACGGCACTAGCTTCATTTCGCGCCAACGCGAACCACGACGGTCATACCCTCGCACACAACCGCCTATGTGCCTCCGGTCCTGTATATACATTAGTTCTTCTGCAACATGTACTATTTACTTCGAATTAAACCGAACCATCCATCATCAGGAGCACCGATCCACGTCTTGAAAGTTCGAATATGCAACCACGCAATTGTTCCCACAACGTCCCAGGATTAGACTCGCTACGCGCAAAACTTAACGTAGCTGATCCATAGTGATAACAGATAGAAATACAAGGAACTGCAGAAGGCATATCAGAACTAAGTCTTCTGTACAGGTTTGGAATGAACATTACGAGAAGGAATTACAGCAAGGTGCAAAAAAATCGACGCGCCCAATTTGGATGAATGTCCGTGCAGGTCATGTGATAGTCATGTGACTATCCACAAATGGCAGAAAATAAATGATGATCGGCTTGCAGTTTCCTAAATAGGATCGATCACATGACCTGATCGAGCATTCATCCAAATCTGTTGCGCCGTTTGTTTTGCACCTTGCTGTAAGCACCAAAACCATACAGTGTCTTCCCCGATCGTTTCAAAGCATAGACGACGTCAAGGGCAGTAACAGTCTTGCGTTTCGCATGTTCTGTGTATGTAACAGAGTCGCGAACAATGTCTACGAATAAATGAAGAAATAAATCTAACGCATCCAAAGAGCGGTAGCTAACACGGCTAGACGAAGACTCACTCTCAAGGAAAATCTTGAGCACACCACGCGTCTCCTCGTAAATCAGACCACTGATACGCTTGACACCACCACGGCGGGCGAGGCGCCGAATGGCAGGCTTGGTTATGCCTTGAATGTTGTCGCGAAGGATCTTTCGGTGACGCTTAGCACCACCCCTGGAGAGCAAGGGGGGTTAAGAATGAGACTCGATGTGGTCACTTCAGGCCCGGAGATTGGACTCACTTTCCGAGACCCTTGCCTCCCTTTCCACGGCCAGACATTGTCAAGTGATGCGATGTGGGGTGTTTAAGACAAGATAAAGATAGGTTGAAGTGATGAAACGCAACGTAGAGAGTGTGGATGAGAGGTGTCAATGACCATTGAGCTTTCCTTATATGAGTTGTTGTTGTTGTTTATTCTGGATATTTAACCTGCAAACTGTAGGCTGCTCGTGAGAGCGCCAAGGGCAGGGGTCGAGATAAATACACAAAAATAAGGTGAGAAAATAAAGAAATAAGTCCGATTCGGGTGTCCTTAATCTCTCTGATAAGGCGTTGCCCAAATGCTGCTCCACTTTTGAGTTGTCGTGTTGGGTTGACCGTTTTTAGGTGTCGGTTTCGAAAATGGGATGGGTTCCGCCTTCCAGCGGTGTCATATCTCGGGGTGTGTCTATTCTGTCCTTCTCTCTTTCTCGTATGCTCCACTCGCTGACAGAAATCCCGCTACCCTCTCTATTCCTTTCTCGTCCACCAGGAGGTCGGCAAGGATCAGTTCACCTTCATCGTCTGGGAGCAAGTTTCGGTGGTGTTCGTGCTTGGGACATTCGAGAAGTATGTGTTCTCTCGTTTCTACGGGTTCTCCGCATGTGCAACTGGGGTTCCTTATATGAGTCCATGAGTCCTTGTGGCATCCGGATGCCAGACTCGGACCCAGTCGTTCCAGGGGAACGACTGGTGGAAAACATTGCATCCGGGATGATGTAAGCGCTACATGTGACTATACCGACGTCGGTTCAATGTATATCACTATTTACACCTACTTCGATGTAAACTCGCGAACGGCATGGCCACCGACTCCATCCCTATCCTATCCGCACCCATATGCTGAGCCAACGAAAGATACAATAAGGAGAAATGTCACTGACGTCTTTGGGAAGACTCTTCGTGGTTTCCAATTGAGAGTAGTTGTTGCCCAGATCCATCGGAGGGATTTGCTCTTGACAGCTCTGGCAAAACTTTGATATACTGCCATTGCTGTATAATGGCGGAAGGATTCTAGTAGTCATAACACCACTTACTGTCCTTGGCTCTCAGCAAGCAACTGGACTCAGTGCACTTGGTGTAAGATAAGACTGGAATCCTTACCATGAGTAGGAGTGCAACCTGCCGCTTCTCACTACGGGATCGGCTCCTTTGAGACGAAGGTGGGAGGCCACTAGAATCTAACCAGCAATCATCATCGTCATTATTTTCGTTTTCCAAATCGTCAATGTCCTCCCATTTATCCAGTTCAACAATTTCCCCAGGGGTAAATGTCGCCGAAAGGAGACAGCCAATAAAATGCCACAAAGTAGGAGCTTTATGGGAGAATTTCTTCGCTGTCCGCTGAACAGACGGAAATTTAACTTCCTTGTGTGTCATTGATGAAGCTGAGAAATGGAAGCCAGAGGCTATGTCTGTTAGGCAATCGAGCTCATTCGTGAGTTGTTGGCGAGTGTAAAGGAGCACTGAAGCGAGGAACAGGGTAGGACCCAGCGAGTAGAGCATTTAGAGACACTTTTGGAGGCTTTCCCTTTCAATAATGAGACCAACAAGCGTAGGGAGAGGCCCCTTGATTTTATGGAGATTTGTGGGGTTGTGACGCAGATCATCGCTAAGGCAAGCGTCGAGAAATTCATACAATATCAGACCATTTGCTTCGAAGGAGTTAAGCACAGCCTCACGCGCTCTCTTCGGCACTTGAAAGGGTAAAGGGAGTGGGGACTGGTGGAGGTTCATCATATCAGACAGTGAGATCAGTTGCGCAATAATATTCTTGTTGAGTATTGTTTGTTCGATTCAATATGCACAAATAGCTGCCGTGGGAAAATGTTTTCCACCAGCCGTTCTGACAAGATAAACAAGCATAAACAGAACGGCTGGGTACGAGCCTGTTATGGAAATGGGAAATTTCCCAATTTAGACTCTTATGGGCCCTGCACACACCCAAATCACATGATATGTAAATAATTAGAGTTTATCCAATTATTAACCACCAAAATTGCCACTTGTGAACTATTTGTTAAACCACATGTTACACCAACTGTGAAACCATTGTAACCTCTAATGAACCCTCTCCCTTCCTCTCCCTTCTCTCCTGCGCTCAGAACGGACGAAAATGGGCGCCTCCGGCCCCATTTTTGTAACAGAGCCTGTCCGGATGCAAACTTGGCATCAATAAACAAATCGATACATAAGTAAACAAAAATAAGGATGGATGAACGTGATCCTTCTCTATGGGCCAGGGTCTCAATTCAATGACCTGGCTTCGACCCCTGCATTTTCAGTCGTAAATGAATTGAACCTCAGTCCACAGTCCAGTGTCCACAGTCCACAGTACAGCAACCTTGCAACTCCGTTTTCATTCAAACGCTAGAAGCATCAGACTCCTTCCCAGTCGCTCACATGATTTCTCCGAGGTTTAGCCGCAACTTACGTTGCCCTCCGAAATCTGTCGAGCGACTGGTACAACTTGCAACACGTGATGTTCCCACGCTAAGTTGTAATGAGTTGTACACAGGTTACGGAATATAATTTGTAGTATTTACGCATGCGGTCACTGCACCCAACCCAACCCGTGGAGACTAAGGGAGCACATCCAAGGTTGTGAAGTCAATATCCGGGGGTGCGCGAAGTTTAACAGTTTATATATTACTTAGTTACGAGTCACTTGTTTGTGCCCGGTGGCATAAGTGGTATGGCGTTAGCTGAGGCTATGCAGTCTTTTTAAGTGGCACATGTTCAATTCTCACTTAGGCAAACTTTTTTTTTTCATACCCTCCATTCCTTAGTGTACAGAAAACAACCATTTCAAACAATTATTCCATGGGAGGGCCCAAAAAAAGTTTGCCTAAGTGAGAATTGAACATGTGCCACTTAAAAAGACTGCATAGCCTCAGCTAACGCCATACCACTTATGCCACCGGGCACAAACAAGTGACTCGTAACTAAGTAATATATAAACTGTTAAACTTCGCGCACCCCCGGATATTGACTTCACAACCTTGGATGTGCTCCCTTAGTCTCCACGGGTTGGGTTGGGTGCAGTGACCGCATGCGTAAATACTACAAATTATATTCCGTAACCTATGTACAACTCATTACAACTTAGCGTGGGAACATCACGTGTTGCAAGTTGTACCAGTCGCTCGACAGATTTCGGAGGGCAACGTAAGTTGCGGCTAAACCTCGGAGAAATCATGTGAGCGACTGGGAAGGAGTCTGTAGAAGCATCGTCTTACGGCTATCCTCCAAACATAGCGGAGCAGGAATCGCGACAGCCGAGCGTGGAAGAGGTAACCTTAGGCGAGTAGCATCAATGTTTATTTGGCTATGACCAGGCTGGCTTATTTGTTACGCTTTCAATGTTGAGCCGACAGTCACCTACCCTCGCTGTTGCCCTCTCTGAACAGCGGTGTTCCATTGTGGTTCGCTGCTGATACGGGGGTCGTAAGGCCGTACAAGGCAATTAGTGTGTGCCGCTCTGGTGGCGTAGAGTCACCCCCAGGGTGGATTTGCTTGTGGTTGTGCCTCCCCCTTCATTTGGTGAAGGAGAACGCCTAGAGGGCCGCTAACTCTGCACGCAAGCCTCGCTGGACTCATCATTTCGCTCGTTTGATTACCCTTCTCTTCCATGTTCAGGGGCCAGACTTCTATGTTCCGTGGTCACCCACAAGAGCTCCCCCTGCCCGATAAAGAAAACGGGGGCGCTCATGTGGGAGGGCGTCCAGCTCAAAGCAATACATCATTCTTAGCCAATGGCGGTTGCCACAACGTATCATCCTCCGCGTTCTCCGACTATACGATCACCACTGGCCGTCCTGAGCCTGAGCCGCAAACATTTTCACGGCCAGCCCACTCAGCACCTCGGCGCCATCCGCGGGGTGGACGTTCTCCATATCGAATGTCTCCCTACTCCCGCTGCCGCTCGTCATCCCCTAACAGTAAGTCTCCAAGTTCGTTCGATCACCGGAACCGACCACTTCGGATGCGGTATGACGCCTCTCATCGTTTACCCGGAAGCCCATCATGGGACTATGAGCATGCACGTCGATCGGGTGGGGATTGCTCAGGCCATTATTCCCAGGACTCACGCGGCATACTGCCTAGTGCCCCCTCGAGTGGGTTTGGAGCTATAGGTCGACCCAGCTCCCAAGGCACCTTCCGTCATTGTCCGCCTTCTGTCGAGTCGATACCCGTTAGGTCGATACCAGAACTTCGTTGCCCTCCATCTTCCACCTTGCCATCGCGTCCTAGTCTTTCTGATGAGCAGAAAAGTCAGCCAAAGCATTCAACCACTTCTTCCCGATTCCATCCCTATCCCACGCCGGTACCGTTGCAGCCTGCATTCGATCCCACTCCACGATCAATCATCCCCTTGCCCGACTTTCACCGCTGTTTCACTGTCCAACAGCTGTGCGGCACGGAGGACACTGAGCCAAACTGGGCAAGCGAAATCGCAATTATCCAAGGTGACGTTGGAATCATTCCGGTTGCTGTATTTATCTTCTAATACTACTTTCCAGGTGCCCCGATCCGAGCTGTCCAGCCCCTCGCTCCGACTTTGGAAGCCGAAGTGCTCGTCAATAGGTGGAGAAACGAGGTATCGAGTGAGCATTGGTTCCTTTTTACGTGCATAATATGTCATCTTATTGCCAGATCAGCCTAAACTGGCGTACCGCCAAGCGCCAGTCCGCGTGATCGCCGTCAATACGCACCAGACCTGTTCGTACAACGGCACTTATGCTTCCTGGGTTGGCATCAAGGCGGGACGTAAACCCAGCATGCTTAAGGTTCCCCGTCGTGATAACTTGGATTTCACCAGGCGGCCCGTGAGCTTTGATCCCCTTCGCTTGCATCTTGCGCTCATCGAGCAAAGGCCACCCTTTACTTACCAACGAGCGCCGATAATTAACATCGACTTGCTGCCTGTGACTGACGACGCAAACTGGGTGCCATCCGTTGAATGGCGAGAAAAGATAATGGGAAGCGAGTCTAACCTGATGAAACTTCTCAATCTCGCCCAAGGCATTGTCTCGCGTCTCTGCAATGCGGAGATTCTCCCTTCTCACCAAGAGTTTGCTACCCTCATCAGATATGAGACCCAGCAGTACTTCCAACAACTTTTCCTATCTCGCATGGTGGCGGAAACGGAAGACTACCATAAGGAAACTGTCCTCGAGGCCGAACGTCACATAGCTGAGCTGCGAGCAATCATCCGCTATTGTCTCATGGTTTGTCTCGATGCGAGCGCCATACTGGGTGGTACTGAACTGCCGATCTGGCCAATCAACGAACTCGCCACTGGCACTATCTTTGATGCCTCTGACGGCATTGAACTTGAGGTCCATGACTCATCCCTGAGTCTGACTGCCAAAGCATTTGCCTCAACGCTGGAACGCTGGGGGATCCCTCATTGGAGGGTTCAATTAGGCGAAAAGCGCTTCGCCGTTTGTAGGTCATGCCCCCCCATGGCGGACACAGCCAGTGAGGCAGCCTTACAGCGCGAGATTCGCGGACGTGCCCAATCGACTGCCCCGAAAGGCAATGCGCGAGCGGAGCTGGTGGTGGGATTTGATTTTGTCGTCACTGAAACGGTGACGTGCAGCCGTCCACAGCAACATATCTTCTCTGGTGCCTTTGACCCTACGATGGAACAATTTCTCCTCGAGAGGTGCATTCTAGCTCTCGCCCCGCTTCACCAGCCTCTCCGATTTAGTGATTTCTCCAACCAGATGAAATGGAATCTTAACGGGATCTGGCTCGGCCTGAGGTACGAGGAGGGTCCACACAACAACCGTGGGCTGGTGGGTAGTAGATGGAAGAACGTGCGGGTGCCGTTTCCTATTGGGGCACTCCACCCCTCATGAGGGCGTTCACCACAACCCCAATCTCATATTATCATCCCGAAGAGCCCCTTCCTACATGGATGCAGACAACGCCTCTGGTTGATACCTCCATTGCCCCATCACCACCAACACCACCAATTATTCGATCGATGACTGATATCTGGTATGGTACATCGATACGCCTTTCGGGAGCAGCTCTTGAGCTGGAGGATGGCCTTGAGGCAGTCAAGGACAGGGGGGTTCTGGCGTACCGTAAAGTTCGAGATTTGACAGTGAATCGGCGGGTGAGCGGATGGGATGGGTCGACTCATTGCCTCAACCTGCTATGCAAAACCACACGTAACAGCCGTCGTGTCAAACAATATCTGCAGACAACCTTCCCTTGCACGTTGATCATGAATTTTCCTGTATGCGATTATGCTCCAACCGGATACATCGGGGTGTTTGAACTTGGATTTGTTAGTGAAGTTTTCGCCAGGGGATTCAACCAGACGGTTGTCAGTGCGCTCATGGCACATGCCCCGGCCGCTCTCATTCCCCAAGGCTTAGACACTTCGCCTGAGGAGAACACGCAGTTGTGGAAGCGGATGTACTCGGAGGACCTGTTTGAGTATGGTCGGTTCAAAATATCGCAAACGACGTCGGAGGCAGGACGCAAGCCGTTCAATTTGGTTGAGGTGGTATTCGGGCGAGATTTACTCGAACGGATGTGTATGTGCAGACCCATTGGACTGAACGAGAGCGAATACCATGCGTTCCTTCGCTTCTGTCTCATGCTATGTCGATTGACCCGGTTCAAACGCTCGTTCCGTCAGCGGATTTACCCTTCAGAAGGATCGTTGTATCCTCGTGTCCTCAACTTCATTTCAAATGAGGCAACGCAACTGTTTGATGGTTTCGAGCTAAGGCCAAATGAAATATTAAGGAGGTCAGGTAGCTCTCCACAGGACCTCTTCGAATCTATTCGTTGGCAACCCAGAACTAGATGTTACACTCTTAAGGTTGCTGAGGATCCTCTCATTCCTCGGAACAAGCCAACCCAGGCCGAGCTAGAGGGCAAAGCATAGGGGGAGCTAGTGGGGTCCACCATTTCGATGTACTCTGAGTACGCGCGAAGTAGGATCCAACACCACTTTCGAACGTTTGGTCGAAAACATGCTGCCTCAAGCGGGTGCTCCACTCTTCAACGATTCATTTCACAGCTCCCCCTCTTATGCTACCACGTCGGAAGTAAGGGAAGCGTCATTCTTGAGCTTCCTGGCGCTGTCTTCTTCGTCGATGAAGACTTGGTTGAATGTCGATGTAGCGTTTGGAGCTGATGAACCGGAACACCTGTCCCCCGACCGCCCGGGACACCAATGGTGTCACGGAGCAAATCGAGCTTAAATCCTTACTCCTATGGCTTTTCCACTTTCCTGCATTCCTTGGAGTAAGGACGCCTCCGACCTTGTGTTGGTGCAGTCTTTGTCGACGATGATGCCTTGGTCGAATGTCGACGCAACGTTTGGAGCTAGTGAGCTGCCACATCTGGCGTCTCGCCGTTCGAAGCATCGATCGCATCACGGAGCGAATCGAGCCGACGTTCTTACTTTGACTTTCCCACTTCCCAGTACTCTTTCATTGCTCCTTGCCTTGTCTTCGTGAGCTTGACGTCGTTTCTTGCCGATTGGAGCAGCATCTTCCACGTCTATGTCATGTTCGTGTAGCCCCTTTGTTGATTTGCACCCATGCAAGTGTTTATCGTGTATCCTACAAAGTACCGCCTCAGAAGGCATCCCATTAATCACTTTTCTCTCGTTTGGCCTGGCTCCTGCCTGCGTTCGCTCCCCATCCATATTGTCAGTCCTTCCTACCTATATAGACATCTACTTCTTCGTCTGGCTCTACGCCTACCCTGTTCTTCGTTTCCTCTGTGTCTCGTAAGTATTCCCATACCTTCGATGATCCCGCTTAGTCCCCACCGCTTCATCTTGTATCCTTTCAGCCATAGCAACTTCATGTTATCCTCGCAAGTTACTCGCTGCCACCTCTTGCGCCTGTAACTCTTATATTGTTGTTTTATTCCTCAAGTACGCATACTATTCTAACACAGATTTTAAGACTCTGCTCACTACATGTTAGCTTTGTGACGCGCATTATCATAGTGAAGGGGACAATGGTGGGTAATTACAGGTGTTCGGGACGGCCATAGTTCCTTCAGGCAGGGAGCTTGTCAAACCACTTTGCCATGAATCCGCTGGGGTCGGAGTCGACGTCAACCTTAACCTCATTAAGGAGTTGCATTACCATACAGGCAACGTCGTCCTCGCTCATCCCGTGCCTTACTAGTTCATTTCCGGCGGAATCGATAAGCTCGAAATGGCAGGCGAAGTCGAAGGTCAGAGGTGGCTTCTCCGTCCTCTGGATGTAGGATGTAACGATGTCAGTCCTGACTATCGTGGCCAAATCCTTGTTGATTGCCTCCGTCCGGAGCTTAGCTGCTGCACTGTCCGCCAGCACCCACAAACTGTTTCTCGCCCGTTTGAGCACTGAATTAAAGCTCGTTGTGTCTCCGACAATACTCCCTGTGGAGGAGGGAGTCTCAGAGTGTGCCCGTCCCAGGTTGCCAAAACCTCCGCTGGAAACACGAAGATGGGTCGTGCTCACAGGCGCCCTATCCGAAGTCAACTGTGACTTTGTTGGGCTGCTGCTTGGAGTGGGCTGGATAATTAGAATGGGAGGAGCCCCTGCTGCGGTACTGCCATCCAGGGCCATCGGATGCCTTGAGCCACCATCTGCCATGTCTCCTGATGCTTCCACGAAAATCTCGTCGTTTAAGATGTCGGCAAGATCCAGGCCATTGAAAGCTGCAGCCTCCGGGATGTTTTCTGGTTCCACCTTGGTCTGGGCTGTGGTGATGGCGTTGTTGCTTGCCTTCGCTGAGTGCAAGTCGTCTGTCGGCATAATCTCTGGAACAGTGCCTGCATGATGAACAATGTTTGCCTGAGGAGTGTCTTCGCGCCTTCCTTTCCCCTTTGTCACTGACTTCTGTCGTTTCTGGGGTGGGGTCTCGACCACATCCTCCTCAATAGGTGGGCTTGCAACCTTCCTTTTCTCCAAGCGGGACACCTTGGCTGTGCTTCTAACTGCATCGTTCTTTCTGAGAGAATAGGCAAGGATGTTGCCATCTCTATCCGGGGCATAATGAACGACTTCATGCCTTTCATGCTCATCTGCCCAACTAGGTGTGAGCTCATTTCCTTTGCTGACAATAATTGGCAACATCTCACCCGGCGTCATTTTAACTACCTCTAGTTTGATTTCCAGGCGCTCATGGGTGAGCACCACTATGCAGCATGCACTTTCGCGTGGACTCCATGAAGATGGGAGCTTTTTGTTTAGGAGGGGAACGCCACAATGCCAGTTCTTGAAGCACAGGTGGTTTTCAAGTAAAAATGGGAATATCTTGCTAGTGCCCCAACTAGCACCGATTGTTTTCTGACCAACGGCTTCCCCTGAATAGTACATGAGGTCGGCATGCATATTGACTCTTATTTGCCCTAGGGCTTACCTATCAGGTTTTTGAGCAATGCACCACACTGAGTATGTCTTTGTGAATGGTTGCCAAATTTGTTGTCTGCTGAAGTACATAAGTGATCCTGCCAGCTTTGGTGTATGGATGTCAACTTCATCTACCTCCACCTCCACATCTTCAAGCTTCATCTCTGCATCTTCTCCAAGGTTTTCACTGAGATGATCAGCAAAATGCACACTACATGCTGTATGGCTAATGACACACTTCATCAGGTGAGAAAGAGTAACATCTTTGTTGCTGGACCTCTCTCCCTCAAACCTGTGGAGGTATTCAATAAAGTTTCTGGATTGAGTTTCAGATGCTATTAGATGTCCAAGGTAATTTATTGTAATGCACCTTTGTTTCTGAGCATTTGGCTGATAAGGACTTGAGGAATATGAAACATCAGAACTACTTAACTCTTTCCATGTCATTCTCACTTACCTAAATGTGGACAAGCCATCATAGAGCTGGCACATTGCCAGTGCAGCTTCCTAAGTGATTGGAACTTGTAGCATTTTAACCATTTCTGCCACAGTGTGTGAACTGGTAAATGCAATTGTTGATTCTGCAGGAGGAAGTGTCAGGGCACACCTGCCTGACCTGGCCCCACCTGGCCCCACTTCACCTGGTACCCTGCCACCCAGTCCTCTCCTACCTCCTTCCCCCTTCTTCTTTCTTTCTCTCCCTATTTCACTTTCTCTTTATTTTCTCTTTATTCTACATGGATGACCTTTCTCTGTATCAATGTACCATTGACCCACCTGCAGCGTTGAAGGTGAAGGAAAGTCAGTTGGGAGGTTCAAACGAGACCACCACCAAGCTGTTCCCTGGTTCTTTAGTTAAGTGTACTAGTAAAATTTGTTGTAATTATAGTACCAATCCAAGTGTTTTGGCTAATTCTATTTAATGGGTTAGTCTAAAAGTCTCCAAGAATTGACTTACAGATAAACAAATCCCTGTGGAGCTGTTCCTCTATTGTAATTTCTCAATTTATCTGGGTGTAATTTTGTGTAGGATCATTTGATTTGGATTTTAACTTGAATTAAATCTTCTACTTGGTGAATTTTCAAAGATTCTACTCAGTTAATGGGTTTAGATTGTGTCTCAAGTGTCCCTTGACCTTGTCTTATTTTTATCTTATTTTTGTTGCTTGTTTTAACAGTAGCAAAATAACTGTTTTGTGTTTACACTTTGAAATCTGGAGTGTTAACCAGCTCTCCTGTTGAAATATTTAATTAATATTCCTCTCCCTATTTGCTGCCTTTTACTACAGTGGCAATCTTAACTGTATATCACTTTTTCGCACTGGAGTGATAACCAGAAATGCTTGAGAAAAATAATACACCATTTTCTTACTTCTCTGAGGGGGGTGAAAAGTCACAGAAAGGGTCTCCCTTTTATACTCCTTGGGTTGCCTTCCTTTTTCATGCTCTACCTCATATTTACAGGATTTATTACAGTGTATTTTCCTCAATCTGAATAAAAATGAATTTTTCATGCTATAGTTCTACTGCAGTCAGACTGTGCCTAGAATCCTTATTGTCCTTCCTTGCCTAAGCTATTTTAATGGTTTAATTAGAACTTGACTGCACTGCATTTGTTGCAGTTTTCTATTTCAAATTCCTCTTATTTACCATTAAGTCTGCTATGACTTGGTGATTCTGAATTCACACTTCACATTACTGTGTGTATGGCTGTGCTGAGACCTTCAGCTGATTTATTCTAATTTTTATCCAGTGACATTTAGTTGAAATGAGACTTGAAATGATAAATGAGTGAATTATTCAGGTTTAGAACCGAAAGAAAAAGTTGCTAGTAGTCAAGAATTGATTAAACAAATGTGTTATAGCTCTCTGCTTTATTAGTATATCGTTCCCTAAAATTCCTGCCATGGTCCATCATTGTCATATCCCGGAATCCCGACCCCACGCACTCCCACCATACCACACCTTCCTAACAACTTCACCATCCCCTACACCATGCCTCCCCACTCTCCAAGTCACCTTCCCTCCCGACTGTCTCAGCTCCGGTCTGGTTGCGACACACCGAACCTAGGCCACTCCCATCCCAGAAGCTCGGTCCCAAGTCGGAACGTTCGGAGACCCCGGATTTGCTCCAATACCCCAACGGACCTCCGATATCCCATGACATGCCCTTAAACCCTTCCTCCACCCATTTCATTTATTTGAGTCACCTAACATCCTTCGGATACGCAACTCCACTTTCGGAGCTACCCACATCCTTCGGTGATCTCCCTCACATTATCATTTATTAGTCACCTTCCATTCTTAGCACGACTACCCTTTTACTACCACCCAGTCGGCTAACCCCCTTTACCCATTTGTCTTCCCCATTCATTTTCCGGTCGCCAACTCTGCCCTCCTTGGCCCGACACCTCAGTTCCCCGTTTTAGATATCATTCAGGGCCTTTCGGTACCTCTCGGTATCATTCGGTACCTTTCGGTGTTTTCCCATTTTGTCATTTCGGACTTTGACTAAAGTCCTCCCCGTCCCCCTTTATAAATACATGTAGATTAGAACCTGTAGTTCCTCAGTTCTAATCTCGACTAAATGCCACCCAAAGTCCCTCTGAGTGAATCCCGTTCCTGTTCTACAAGACACCTCAGACATAAGAAATACAGGGACTAACTGAGACGTAACAGAGGCACAGCGCTCCCTCCGAGTCGCTGAGGCCACATCCTTCTTAGAGCCTCTTGTACCATCCAGCAGGACCGGGCTCCCTGAGAAGCTTCGGTTCACTACCGGAGCCCTCGGACCCCCCTCTAGTTGAGCCCCGCCTGCATTCGGACTCACGCATTTACCCCTCTTCCACAACTCGGGTTTTTGACAGTCATAGTTTAGTGGATTTCGTGGATTTCCTCCATCTCCCCTGATTCCCGTTTGTATTATTGCATCCTAGTCCTTCATATGTATTGTTCGTTGTTATAATAGGTCATCCTCAAAGATATCATATTTTTATGTATTTTATTTGGGGCTTGGGACCTCTAGAAGCTGTCTTCCTGTGCATTTTCAGGTTTCTGTCATATCCATACAATCCCAACCTCCGCTCCGGGCTCCTGGAACTCCGAAACTGACTCCGGAGCCCTACTTCCCTGCCATCACCTTCTCCTTGCCGACTCCCAAGAGGTTATCCCACCTCTGGCTCTGACACCACCTTCGGTCTGACTCTGGAACATTCCGGGTCCGACCTCAACCTCGACACCTTCCAGATGAGCATGCAACACCTATGCTCCCGACTCTGGACCTCCCAGAGGCTCTGGAATTCCATTCACGTCTCCATCTCTGGAACCTCCAGTCTTAGCTCCGACCTCAGACTTTGACCCCACCTCCGCTTATACCCATTGTATTGGCTAGCTCATTCCATTTAATTACCTTTGCCAATATTCCGGAGTTTAACCTCCGAGTTCAGACTTTCCGGACTTACTTCAGACCTTGCAACTATTGCATTGCTCCATTCAATTCTGCTATTCTCCGTCATTCCTATTTGGGCTGCTGCTTCCTTTCTATTCAGTCAGCTGGCCATTCCCCACTCCCATCCTCCTTCATTCCTCCTTGGGCCTTGGGCCTTCACTCCTCCTTTGGGGAACACCATTGAGTCAAACCCTTGACCCTTGGTGTTGTTCCTCCTTCCAGCTCCCTTTGTCTGCTTTCGGAGTACCCTTGCTCCTTTTGATTCCGGACCCCTCCTTATATACAATGTACTTAGTAACTTGTAACCTCAGTCCGAAATCGACTTGATCTCCCCCCAAGAGACTTTCCTTTGCTAGATCTGAAATTAGGGACCCCCAGGACAACCAGCAATGGCACAGCACTCCGCCTGAGTCGCTGAGGCCAAGGTCCTTCCACACTAAGTCTCTGATTCCACTCCGGAGTCATCTGAATCCACTGTATCTAACAGTTTCTAACTTCATGTCCTTGTATCTCATTCATTTCTGAATGGTTTTTCACGTTCTCAGTATCATAAATTTTCATTTATTCCCACCTTTCCAATGGTACTAAAGTTGTATTCTATCTCTCTGTTAGATCGTGTGGATTCAGACAACTCTGGAGTGGAATTGGAGACTTAGCATGGAAGGACCTCAGTGTTATGGAAATGGGAATTTCCCATTCTAGACTCTTATGGGTTCTGTATCACATGATTTGTATAGTAATTAAGTTTAACCAATCATTAATCAACAAAAACCTGCTGCCACACTACCTGTTCAACAACATGTTAAACCATCTGTGAAACCACCTGTAAACCCCTATGTCCAACCCCCTTTCCTATTCCTGTGCCAGAACGGACGAAAATGGGCGCTTCCGGCCCCATTTTTGTAACACTCAGCCTCAGTGACTCAGGCAGAGCACTGTGCCATTGCTGGTTGTCCTGGGGGTCCCTAATTTCGGATCTAGCAAGGGGAAGTCTCTTGGGGGAAATCAAGTCGATTTCGGACTGAGGTTACAAGTTACTAAGTACATTGTATATAAGGAGGGGTCCGGAATCAAAAGGAGCAAGGGTACTCCGAAAGCAGACAAAGGGAGCTGGAAGGAGGAACAACACCGAGGGTCAAGGGTTTGACTCAATGGTGTTTCCCAAAGGAGGAGTGAAGGGCCAAGGCCCAAGGAGGAAGGAAGGAGGATGGGAGTGGGGAATGGCTAGCTGACTGAATAGAAAGGAAGCAGCAGCCCAAATAGGAATGAGGGAGTATAGTGGAATTGAATGGAGCAATGCAATAGTTGCAAGGTCCAAAGTAAGTCCAGAAAGTCCGAACTCGGAAGTTAAACTCCGGAATATTGGCAAACATAATTAAATGGAATGAGCTAACCAATACAATGGGTATAAGCAGAGGTGGGGTCAAAGTCTGAGGTTGGAGCTAAGACCAGAGGTTCCAGAGATGGAGATGCAAATGGGATTCTGGAGTGGAGGTCCGGAGTCAGGAGCATAGGTGTTGCATGCTCGTCTGGAAGGTGTCAAGGTTGAGGTTGGACCCGGAATGTTCTGGAGTTGGACTGAAGGTGGTGTCAGAGCTGGAGGTGGGATATCCTCTTGGAAGTTGGCAAGGAGAAGGTGATGGAGGGGAAGTAGGGCTCCGGAGTCAGTTTCGGAGTTCCGGGAGCCCGGAGCGGAGGTCAGGATTGTATGGATATGACACTCTCGGTATTTGTCAAGTTAGCAAAAGTTCATGCACACATTCGGTAATCATGTGTGTTGTTCCTGTACTCGTTTGTATGCAGGTGCCGTTTCTGTTTAATTGTTCAGAATTTATTGTATGCATGTGTAAGGCCAGTTGGGGTGCTGGCCTGGGTTGACTCCTCAGTCTTCAGTAGTTGAGATCTAGGCTGTATGGAGCTTATGATTCAACATTGGGTTGAGGGTAAAGAGTGAAGAACCCTTTACCTGAGCCCGAGCCATACATATGTAAATACAGTTGTTTACATTGTATACAAAGAATAAAGAACAAATAAAGTAAGCACG